CTGTTTCAAGACTAAGAAGAGTAGAAGAAGGTCGAAGGGCATAGAATGACTCTAGCCTATCCGATTCTAGCATGCTCTCCAGAATACAATCAATTTCATTTGATCTCAGACCCAGCCTTCTCACATTTTGTGCTTACCTTATCTTCGCATCCGAAATATAGAGTCGAGCTAACAGTAGTTAGCGGCCGTTGAGGGGGCAGCTTGGCCCTGCCTTTTGTTTATATCTGCCTAGATTGTACTGTCACCTTGATGTATCTAGAAATTCTTACAGCATAAATAGAGCTAGCAGCGTTTTCAGTCTATGACTCCAAAGCCAAAGAGTCCAGCATGCCAGTAACGACTCGTAGCCAAGCCAATACGGATGCGAACCAAGGCAACGGTCGGCCTCAAGGTAAGATGTTCGTATCTTCGATACAGATCCAGATACTGAGCCACAAGGCGAGAACGAGATCGAGCAAAACGCAAACCGACCTCCTTTCAACGAGGCAGAAACGTACTACCCTGTCTTCTGCCTCACGGAGATCCCAGACGAAGTATGTATCGTCAGGCGTACCGTGCCCAAACGACGACAAGCTAAGTACGAATGATAGTATACCGACGAACTCGTACAATACACCGACGAGTATTCACGGTGGATCGCAGTCACCTCCAACGATCCGAAGAACGTGCTCGCGGACATCGAGGCCAACATGGGCAGGTTGAGGCCCACGCCTTTCATCGGCTACACCGTGCGCCAGGTCTACGGCTTTTTCAAAAGACATCTCCGACCCGCAGAGAACTACAACGGTCCCGACATCCGTTTCCCGAATTTCACTTTCATCGTCGTCGACGAACGGTGCGTCCAGTCTAGGCCCCGGCAAATCATCATCTGCTGCGACGCTCCAGACTTCGGCGAGAGAAGAATCAAGCTCAAGCAGTTGCGGTTGCCCATCGACCAGGCGTTGGACAACCTATGCCCTCTGGAGCAGCTGGCTTTCACCGTGAGCACAATCGGACATCCTAGCGGCAAGTCGAGGCTTATAATGCCGCCGCCAACGAGAATTCCGTGGCCGGATCGACCAGGGCGATACAGGTGGGCAACGGCGGCGGAAGCAAGGAAGATTGCGAGGGGAGCGATTCGAGGGTGGAAGACGGCAGACGAGGCACTGGGGAAGGTAGAGCCTTTTGTAATTGAATCCGGACGGTGAGCCGGTTTGATGAACGCGATCAACGATAGAGAGTACTGTTCAGATTAGAACAAGCATAGATTACAACACGTATAGATTACAACAAGCATGTGCTCACAAGATTTCGGGGAGATCGCAGCACCTCAAAAAATAAACAAGAGCTCCATATCCTTGTCGTGCTGAGAGCACAATTCATGATGCTCGTGAAATGACTAGCAAGACTAGTTTAGACTAGCAAGAGGGACTGTGCGAAGCTGAAGAAAAGACATGATGCATACGAGTACCCAATCGATGGTGATAATCCAACTCGGAATAGCAAAACCTCCATTTAGAGCTGCGCCTTCTCCACCTTCCTCCCCGTCTCATCAAACCAAAGCTTCGCCCCCGTGATTAAACTCTCCTGCAACGCACACCCAATCTTAACTGCCTGTACAGCCCCTGTCAGTTTCATCGGCAACTTCCCATCATCCAGACAAGCAGCCGTAAATTCATTGGCTTCGGTCACAAAGGCCTGCTCAAATCTTCCATAATACGTCCCTGGAATCTCCCGCCGGATACCAGACCCTTCGTAGATGTTTACGAGATTCGTTTGAGGTTGCATGTTCACAGTCAACTTACCCTCCGTGCCGATGATTTCCGTTGAGTCTTCTTGACCTGCGGCCATCATGCGCGAAGCGTACAGGTAAGCGATTCTGCCCCCGTAGAACTCGACAATGCCAACCGCGTTGTCGCGATCATTGTGCTTGCGTAGGTCAGGCTGCACGGCCGTAATGCCGCTGGAAACAACGGACTTCACCATGGAGTCTTGACCGAAGAACCACAAAGCGAGATCGATGTCGTGGATGGAGCAGTCGACGAAGATACCGCCCGAGAACTCAGCGTAGGCTACAAAGAATCCGCTGGGATCTAATTTGTCACACGTCTGGCTGCGGAAGATTGATGGGCGGCCGATCAGCCCGGAGTCCATTTTGTTCCAGGCGTCTCGATACGATTCGTCGAAACGGCGGGAGAAACCGCACATGACTTTCAGGTGCGGTTTCTTCTTTGCCGCATCTACCACTGTTTGAGACTGACAAAGCAACATTGTCAGCGTCTCCCGGAATCTCGATATTGACGGCATGACCGACAGTCGAGACTAGCTTACAACTTCTACACTGGTGGAAAGTGGCTTCTCGCACAGCACATGCTTGTTGGCCTCCATTGCCTTGATCGCCTGCTCTGCATGTACTGTTGTCACAGATGCAATGACGACAGCTTGTAGGCCTTCTTGTTTCAACATCTCCCTGTAGTCTTTGTATAGCCTCACCCCATATGGCTCGAGATGCTGTTTAGCCCACTGCAATTCTGCATCATCTGGGCTACTCGCAGCTACCAATTCGGCTCGTGGAGTCCGATTCAGAAAATGAAGTGCATGACGCTTTCCCATACGCCCTAAGCCCGCACAGCCTATCTTGAGCTTCGCTGGAGCCATTGCATAGGATCAATTACGCCCGCCCTTTATAATCCACGAAATTTTGAGGTGGTGAATCTTTCCCTGCCGGCAGCGCGGGAACGGCCCGGCTCGAGAACTCAGTTCTCAGCCCGCATATCCTGCATGCGAGACAGTCCTGTCAAAATGTTGTAGAATAAGCAACAAATTTCAATCTCCATACTATGGTACCTCCGATTCCATCCTTCTTGTACTACTTATTAGTAGATGAAAATAGCAGGACATGAAGGGCGGCGAAATTTGATCTAGTCGAATACGGCATGATTTTATCACATGAGGTATTTTAACCAGCACACATAGTACGCGGTGAATATCAAGAGGACCTGAGAGTCAGCACAATGGCGTCCGACGAGTGAGATATGAATTTGAAAGACAGTAGAAGACGAAAGAGAAAAACAAAAGCAAAGGTTAGACAGGGGAAAGCATCTCGCTTGAATTTTCCAAAAAGATTTGCACAGCCCAGATTCGAAGTCTCAAATACTACTTTTGCCACATCCAGGATTTGAAAACGGCAAGACGAGTCTCAACCAGCCCGGAAGACGAAAGAAATATTTCATCGCCATTTTTCGCTATTCGGTATGCGCATTCAGAGGACCGGCCCAGTTTCTGGGAGGTATGGGTCCGACTGGGGGAGACAAGGCAATACGGATACCCTCTGGTGGCCAGAAAAATTCATGGTCACTCCTTCACCAAACAGGCCTTCTATGAAAGAGGGCTCGTTATCAGGAATATAACCAGATAATCATTTCCTTTTCGCGGTGCTTTTCGCTGGTAGCGAGAGGTTGAAAGCTGGGCAGAGAACATTGATGCAAATAGCCTTGTCGGTAAGAGGGTTTTCGTCCATATCTTGCGTTCTCAGTCGGAGTTGTGGTGCCAAGGCCTAGGCATCATCGCTTTCTACTACCACTTTTAAAACGAGATTGCCGTCTGCGTCGTTTGCTCTGGCTGCCATTTCGAAGGCACGCTCGACATGATCAAGACCAAGGAAACGATGTGTGACGAGCTTTCCAAGGTCTGCCAGCAGTGGATTGTGGCCTGACACAAGCTCTATTGCTTGGGGATATGTATTTGCATAGCGAAATGTTCCAAGGATGTCGACTTCACGGAGTGCAGCGGCCGAAATGGGCAATGTCTGGACAGGATTGCCCATGCCCACGATCACGACTTTTCCTGCGGGCCGTGTGGCATAAATGGCAGCCTGAGTACAAGCTTCGACACCTGTACATTCGAGGACCACATCGAATCCACCAGTTGAACCAGTACCATTCCGTATTTTCTCGGTTGCCGAAGCTGCAGTCTCTTTCGCAATTTGAAGCTTCTCATCGATATTTTGACCTCGTTTGGCGGGTACAGTGAACCCTTCATGTGCAAAGCCATTTTGAGTAGCAAATTTGACCCTTTCTTGCTGAATATCTGCGATCACGACATGGCTTGAGCCAACCACCTTGGCCATAGCCGCGCACAGTAGCCCGACAGCTCCAGCACCGAGCACGAGAGTTGAGCTCTCTTGCGCTATTTGAGCTCGCCGCGATGCCTGTATTGCTACACCCAATGGTTCGAGGATGGCTCCCACATCATATGATACGTGGTCGGGCAGTTTGTGGCACCATGATGCTGGGTGATTGATCCTGTCTTGAAGGGTTCCCTGGAAATGAGGAGATGCTTTGGCGGAGCTCCTGAACCGCAAATGTTGGCAAATATTGTATCTCCCTTCTCGACATCTTTCGCATTCTCCGCAAGGTAGCCCGACCTCCAATGCTACCCGATCTCCCACTTTGAAATCGTCCACTTGTGATCCAACGACGACAACGACTCCAGCAGACTCATGTCCCAAAGATAAAGGTTCTGTGACTTGGATGTCTCCATTCCGGTAATGTTGGTAGTAATGTAGATCGGAACCGCAAAGGCCTGTAGCTCGAATGGCAATTTGAAGCTCTGTAGGGTCAGGGGACTCGAGTCCCCTTTCTTCAAGCCTCAAGTCTTTGGGACCATATAGTACCGAAGCTCTGCAAAGCTTTCCCATAGCTGCGGGTGGACAGGAACCCCGCACCACACGCTCCAGTAGTAGTAGTTTTCATCCGTGCATTTTGCATGCACTTCGGCTATTCTTCGGCCCGGCTGCTCTGCAGGTCGATCCGAGGTGTACGCAAAGCTTCCACCAAACCGTCAGGATTCAGACTACACCTCCACTACTTTGCACTCGCTGGCATCGACCATGAATCACCCTCAAGCGGCTCCTCAGAGAATCTCTCTCTCAACCCCACACCCTTTCTCCCACAGCTTCGTTAATTAGCAGTGAACTCTCATCTCGCATCAAGTCTCCAAACGTCGGTGAAGAGGTGGACATGCTCCTCATTCCAGAGGGAGAACCTTTCGGAGAATTAGCGCCAGTATTAGACGAATCCGTTATTGGCTTTCCCAGTGACATACGACCAGCTCGGCCTGGAGTAAAGGAGATGCTCGAGGTCACATCCATCCGAAAGACGCAGATATCCCATGCTGTGCAACAGCCGAGGCCGCCCTCATCTACTTTGGAGCGGCCAGGCTGATGGATGTGAGTACTCTCTACTGACGGGCGGAGACTGATATCTAACTTACTGATGCCCCCATCCAGGAATGGAATTCATGGGTCCCAACAGATAACGTAGTCTCAGCTACAGATACCCTGCAAGCACACAACGATAGCTTTACACTCTTCCGCCCTTCGTCGATGTACCATCTAGGATCCTTGTATCGCGATTTGCCTCGCTTCAAATCTGTCAACGCAATCCTTTTTTCTTGACAAGGTACCGGCGCAGTAATGCCATATACCTTGCAAGCCTGCCAGATTCGAGCTTGGCCAAACCGGCATACCAGTTCCCAAGCTGGTTGTCTTCGCTCAAAGCTTGCTGGACACCAATAACGGCGTCGACCTTGAAGATCTGGTAAATGGTATGAACCTGTCAATGGAGTGGGGAGAAGAGTATCTTGAACTTGATGGAAGTACGGACGTAGCCTGGGCGAATTGGAAGGCTGAGGCACTCGAGAGAGAAGGAAAGAGTCTGCATGGGTGGGATGGCAGCCCGGAAAAGAGGCGCGAGATATGGCAGAGCACGGTGTCAGCCGACGGGGAGAAGTGGGGTCAAGGCTGGAAATACAACGCTGCCTGCGAGACGAGGTTTTGGAGGCGGGGTCAGAGGCATCCTCGAAGGCGCAAAGGCGGCTTCTGACCTGGGAATGATCCTGACTACATCGGCTAATGAGCCACTGAGCGGTCGAAAACGGACCACATTGGCAATGACTCCATTGAATCCTAGCACACAACGTAATCTGCATCTTTCGCACGACCTCCAGAAGCGGTTGGGGGAGTCTCAGAACGGCAAGAGGCGTCCTGTCGCAATCGCCGCATTCGACGATTATCTGATCTTCCAGCCGACTTCCATTCCGGCGTATGTATGTTCCATACGACAGTAGCCTCTGGTCTCTTGGCTGCGGCTTGCTCGGGGCTATCTGGTGGTGGAGGCGCGGAGGCGTTGGAGAGAGAGGCTGGAACTGTATTGTGTTGTATCGTTCCCGGGAGTTTGCAGGCTTTGTCCGAATTTGTGATTGGGGGGTTTGGAGGACGGCATGGCCGTCTGATGAGGAGTTGAAGCGGGCTACGGCTTTGTAATTTACCTTGAGCTTTGGCATCTTAGGCCTGGGATTTCAGGGTGCGCTTTTTCAGTCTTGCTCACTACCGTCCAGACTTGCAGGTGTCTTCGGTGCAAAGGTGGCAGGTGATCGGTATGTGCTTATTCGACAGCTTTCAAAGACTCTATGATGCAATGAATCTAAATGCACCCTCGTATCCATACCTTTGGAGCGTTCAGTCGCTGCTCTAAAATAGCTTCGACAGTATGTTCCCCAAACTCCAAGCTCCTCGCTACCGGGTATCGTCTTGCGCCTTGTCATATACCCCATTCGTACAATCAATCCTCCCAAGGCACTAGTAGTCTCAACGGCAGGTTTCCGCCTTCTTTGTCTTCTGGTTTCGAGACATTTTCACTTTGCCAGTCCGGGTATGAAATCGCCGACTTCTTCCGTCTCGAACACACTCCTCAACTCCGTTCGCGGACCATACTCGCTTCTCAAAGTCGAGAGGTACCCGTGCCCATCGAGCTTGGGCTTCGTCGATGTCTTCCGGCTCAGGAAGCTCCATCTCTTGCTCGACCGGTCCGCTGTAGATGGTACGGCGGTCTCGTCGTGACTATCCTGACTGACCCACGATGTCTCGGGCGACCCCATCGGTGGCGGCGCTGGATCCGAGTGACTCTGCTCCCTTGCGGACCTTCGAAACAACGGATAGATTGCAGGAACCGACGAGGTCATGATACCTACACAGACCTCCATGTTTGAGAGGAATGGGATGAGAGGGTAATTCCAGGAGATGTCTATTGATCGCATCCAGATGATTAGAGAGGCCATGCGGACGATGGCACAGACAACCGAGATAGAGCTGATGGCGACGAGTACCCAAAGACCCATTTTCCGTGAGAAAGGCACTTTGAGCTTCCAGATGACAGGAATGGGAAGGACCCAGATTACAAGATCTTCTAAGGAGCTCCACGCGCTGTTGAAGCCATTGAACGCTAGAATGCCGATGCATTTTGAACTCTGGAGTGGGTTTCCAGCAGCCCAGAATGCGTTGATCGGTACGCATTGAAAGATCGCGCCCTAGATAGGTATTAGCATTCACTACGTTTGGTAGATCTCCAAAGAAAGGAACGTCTTACGACCAGTGAAGAAATTTCGTGAGCGACGACGAAACCCATGATGATATAGATGGCAATCTTGTGAGACCTTTCTGGGGTCATTCGCAGATAGAGGAAGAGAACGCTGAATTTCATGGAACTATTGGCGATCAGTCAATGGAAGGTCAAGGGTCGCTCGGAAAGCAGTACCCAAAAGAGACTGTTATTAGTAGTATAAAAACGTAAACCAACTGCAAGAGGTCAGTTGGCGTTGATCAAAGCAAACATATGTAATGGTAAAGTACGAACCTTCAGAATCGCCGAAAGTTGAGCCGATGTCTCGTTGAGGGACATGTGTTTGCCCATACCGTACTCAGTACCGACAATGATATCCGCAGTAACACCGGCGGTAATTATCTGAGGCCTGGTCAGCCATTGACATGTTGTATGTCTAGCAAAAGGCGATATGCGTACCAAGGTCATGAGCGCGAACCACTCGTCTGGACCCACTCCTCGGACAACCTGCCTTACACGCTTGGTGTAGATACGCGCGAAGAATCTGACGCAACTTAGCAATGGTAGTTTCCTGCCGCAACCGCACTTGAGCGCACCTGAAAGCCAGGACAAGAGCTGCTACTGAGAGAAGAATGATGGACACTGCCTCGAATGCAGGTCCTCGATTCGCATTCGAAGGGTCCGCAGGTAAATTGCCCCATGTTGTTCCGTGAGTACCGGCTCCGAAGGTCTCCAGGGCTGGAGACACGCTTGACGTAGAAGAGGCAGAGGCAGAGGTAGGAGAGGCAACCAGGACTGGAACAGCGGACGAGGTGCTGCCAGATCTGTCGCTGGTTGTAGATGAAGGACTTGCAGACGTGGATGATGAGGTAGAAGAGGTTGAAGAAGCAGAGGCTGCGGATGCAGATGATAGGACACTAGGGCAAAAGGTGTTGCTCCATGTTTGTATTTCTGTCGGCGAACATTATTAGCATTGACTGCGGTTAAGCAGGCCGAATTGGGTGCTTACTCTCTAGATCGCCTAAGGAGCAAGTTGACTGTGCTAAGCATGCCGTCACCGAAGACCTGATGGTAGCAGCATGCGCGGCTGTACACTGGCAAACGTAGTCTGTGTCGCCACAATTGGTTGTTGCAATAGCAGTAGAGAAGCAGGGAAGCTATACATCCATGTCAGGACAGCTGTCGCGTCATGAGTCTGGGGTAGGGAAGTGTACTGAGCAGCTTGGAAGATCAGCGACAGATTGTGCCCCAACAAGTGACGCTGCAAGTAAGGTGTGCAGCAAGAAGAGGCATTTCATTATTGAAGGAATAATATTCGGCACGGCCTCGGCAGATGTTTATATAGGACAAGTGGTAGAGGTGAAGAGATTAGATAATGATGAGATGCAGGTACATATTACGCAAGGAAGAAGCACATCATTGTGAATGGAGAAGAAGGAGGAGGGGATGCAGGTTGATGCAGGTAAGGGTTTTGCACATGAGAAAAAGCACGAAATCCCACGAGGGCGACAGCGGATCGCACAGGCCATGGTGCCCAGCAAGATCCAGGTTCAGTTGGGCATGATTTACCAACCTTCTCGGCCCTGATGGTCCGTCTTTTTCAAGGCGTGTGGGCCCTCTATAAAGATTATCCTAATCCATGCCGAAGTAGGTTATGAATTTCCCCTTCAGGACTCGGCGAATCCCTTGGACTTCTTTTGACTTCTTTGACATCTTTGACTTCTTTGACTTCCTGTAAATTTATTTCCTTTCGAGATGACTTTTTGCTAAGAGATGCTGGTGTTGCCAATGGCAATGTGAGAGGAAGGGTGCTAGATGTACTAGATGTGCACCGGGAGTGCGGCTTCTAGCTCCGCGAAACCATGGCCCAATGTTTAAATCGTCTCAATCCTTGCGTTGCTCCATTAATCGTCCATTATTTACTCCCTGGTTGTTATAGATTGGGCCTTACTACTTGCTAGTCAAGGGGGAGCCTTTCAGCTCTAGAGCTGCTGTGTAAGTCGATGCCGAATCACCGATGAGAATAAAGACAGCATGGCCATCTATTAATTCCTGATGTACGCTATGATGGAGGAAACTTATGACTTGCATACAAGTTGACCATGACACCAGTCAGATGCGGTCTTTTTGGACAAGATGAACGGCACTTGTGCATGAACTGCATTGTGCCTGGAAAACCAAGGGACATAAGATGACTGACGAGCAAACGAGTTCGGGATCACATCTGGAATAATAGCAGCAAGCTTTCGATGATCCATGATACCTGGTGCAGCTTCGATGTTGATTACGACTCTCGATTCGTGGTGTCAAGATAGAAGCGTGGGCGAAGGGGGAATACAGGGCGGGGATGGTGCCTGGCAGATCTGCTCTAGTGGCCCCCATTCCCCCAGCGACGGTTCCAACGCTGGCACCATGTGGCTGCGGCACGACCGACAGCCTACCTAATAAGAAGCGGCGATACCAGGCGCCACCAAAAAATCACAACCTGCATCCTCAAAGACATACCTACCTACAGCGAGAACAGAGATAAAAGGAACCCTCTTACCATGAGGCCACAAGACTACTCATTTAGGGCAGTGGAAATTCCTTTATCGAAATACTCTATGCCGTATGTAATAGTGCCACACACTTACGGTAACCTAACAATATACCAAACGGAAGAACTCGAGCTTCCCCGTGGTCGCCGCCATTGTCATCGTAATACCTACCGCTGTTGGAGAATGGTCTCATTATCCCAATTTCTTTGAGCAATGTCTGGCTCCCTTTTGGCCATTTTTTTTTCCAATATTCCAGTCAAGGTGCATTAGAGACAATTTTTGCTGTCTCAGTGTACGACTTCTTTGTTCGCCATTCTGCTACAAAGACATCTGCCCACCGCTTTCCATCCTTCAACATCAGACTCGAACAAAGGAATGAGAAACACAATGCGAGACAATCTTATTGTGGCTTCTATCAAGCCCAGTCGCCTTGCTGCTTATAAGTCAAATTTCCTTCTCCCCCAGGTGTTGATTCCAACCCCATCACTCATCCAACCGAACACCTTCGCCCCCTCCACCAGGACATAGAACACACTCCGAACCCTAGTGTGACGGTATTGCTGACTACACCAGAGGACCAACCTCCAAATGAGTCCGACCTCTGCGCCCGTCCCTGTTGACCACCACGACTGGAACGAGTATGACCCAGAAGCACTACCATCGTTCAGAAGACCCTACCACTACAATGACATTGAGGTTCCTATCAACTGCGAACGTCTGAGTATCTCTGATCCGCCAGACATAAGTGATCCAATTAACAGCGAAGAAAACGATGCCGAGATTCGCTGGTGTCCCAGATGCTTCACAGGGTTTGGATCCACGGAAGCCCTCTTGGAACATCGCAGAACCTCGGCTCTCCACATTACGTGCGAATTTTGCGAAAGAGCCGAGGACTTCGCCAATGAGGAAGAGCTTTGGCAACACTGCTGCGGTCACCACTTTGCTTGCTGGTATCGCGAGGGCGCCACTTTCTGTGCTAATGTTTGCAAAAGCGCGGCCGATCTCGACAGACATTTTCGGATCGATCATTTCTCATGCCGCTTCTGCATATATGTGCAACTCTTCGCGACCCTGGAGGACCTCAAAGACCATTATCGCGCTTCTCATACTACTTGCCCTCGCTGTCCCGACCCTCTAGTGTTCCGGTATAAAGAGGAACTGCGAGAGCACTGCCTTCGCGAACATTTTGGATGCCCGTGCTGTGATTCAGTAACGTGGTCCAAGGATGAAGAATCGCTAAGGACTCACATTGGCCTAGAGCACTTCCCGTGTTGCTTTTGCATCTCTCAAACGGTGTTCGCCTCACGGGAGGACCTTCTGGCTCATCGGCGTACCGCACATGGCTGTTTTGACTGCCTTCTCTGCAAGCCACAACAGCCACGGATCATCTGGCCAGCCCCATGGCGGGAGCACATGGAGCAGTGCTATTACCCTAACCCTTGTACCGACGACTTCCACCAGGATGGGTTTGATATGATCAGCTATTGCGACTTGTGTGAAAAGACGTTCAAGCCGCAGTACCGCCAGATTCATCTGTTGTTCAATCACTTCTGCCAGGACTGCGCACGTTATGGAACCATTTTTAAAATGCACAAAGAGAAACATTTGAGCGAATGTTCTCGCCAGGGCGCATCTGCTGGTCCACCATGGTGGCACCGGCAAGAACAACAGCAGCAGAATGAGTCGGCACGAGAAAGCTTCCGGAGACAACACGAAGACTTCAAAACACGAGCGAACGAGCAGAGAGCACATCCATCTGCTTCTCATCCTCATCCTCCCCCTCCAACTCAAAAGCCACAAGAGCCAGAACCGCTGGATATCTATACCATCTTGAAGATCTCACCGCAGAGTCCTCCAGAAGTCATGAAGCAGGCGGTAAGAGTCAGACGTGTTGAGACACACCCGGACAAGCGTAAGAGGCAAGGGCTGTCCCAAGGAGAAGAGGATTTGATTGACGAGGAAGCAAAATTGGTGGGATGGGCAGCTGACATTTTGCTAGACCCGGAGAAGAGGAAGAAGCACGGAGAGCAAGTGCATGCGTGGAAGATGAGGTATGGACAGTAGATACTCGAATGTCATTGACCGTAGGGTATCGAAGGAAAATGGGTTTCGATTGCTGTAGGTTAATGGTCTCGAAATTCTCTTCATTTGAGCAGTCTTTCGGTAGCATCTCTTTTCAGCCGCGCTAGTAGCAATTTTCCGCCTTTAGACCTCAATCTTTCCTGGTTACACTTGTTCCAAGCTGTGACTCGAAGTGTCAGCATAATTCCAACCAATTTTTCCCGTCCCCGTTCTCTGCCCATCTTCCAAATACTCAAACGCAATCCCAGGTAACCTGTATGCCTGCTGAAAATTCAAGAGCAATCTCGCCAGCGTGACAAGATCGCTGTACTCCATGCTCTTGAGCGGCGGCTTCTGCGACGATACCATGACCGTCAGACCGTTCTCGGAGCAGCTGAACTGGTTATCGTGCAGCTGCGGGTGCTGCTCCACCACATTCCAGATGGCGTCGAAAGCCGTGCTGAGCATATCGACCATGCAGGGAAGAAGGTTGAAGCTCGAGATGAAACGTCCGCCTTTCAATGAGGTGATCCGTAAGGTGAGACCGCCTATCTTTTCCTCGTAGGGTACCTTTGAGAGGATCTTGAGGTCTGGATCGGCGGGACCGGAAACGCTTCTGTGATGTCAGTCTTGATACCCTCCATGCGGTCGAAAAGAGGACGGGAGGACGCACGAGGAAGCATTGAGGCTGTTGAAGCTACTCAGCGAGGGACTGTTTCCAAGGGCAGGCGTGTTCGAGCGGCGGTCTGACCTGGCGAAGCAAGGGAGCAGGGCGAGTTGAAGAAGCATGAATGCGGAAAAGGACATGAGGTTCTTCATTTCGAGAGTAAGGAATGGCCGATTGCTGAATGCGGATGCGAATGGTGATCAGTTCCAGCAGTCATCCCATTCTTCAAGAGCTTTTCAAAGTCCGGTGTCGGTTAACATCGAGGCCATCCATTCGCGATTCGTCGTATACGCCGCGCCTCGAGCGCGTCTCCAGCTCACGGCCATGCAGAACTGCGCTTTTGCCGGTGGCGATATCCGAGCCGTTCCGCGTGATGGGTGAGACCCCTTTTCCTTCGATCCCGAGCACCCCATTGGAACTGGAAATACTAGCCTCCATACTATGATGCAGTACCCCAGACAAAAGGACATGTGGAAGATCAGCCATGTGAATCAACTCCTCGGAGCTGAGTCCCTGCATCACATCACCTTGATATCTCAGTCCGAATCCTGCACATGGCATTTCAGCATCTGCTTCCTCCGTGGTCACGGAGCGAGTCGGATGCTCTGAAGGAGATGCACGTGAAATTTCGACCCTCGCCAATCTCGGTTTGATCTGGGGTTTTGTCAAAAGGATATCTGGGCTAGCAATCAGCAACGTCGTCACTGTCGCCAAGCACAGCGCTTGAAGTTTTTGGGACGTTTAGCAAATGGAGGAGTCCTCCCGGACTTGCTTCGAGAGCTCAGAGTCTTTTCAGTCCGGGCATTGGCATGGTGCTTTATTTGAGTGCCTTTGATGGATTGATTCGGCAAACTCGGGCCGATCATGTCCCTGACCTGGAAACGTTTTCTTCGACGACAACGACGCCGGCGATATCTTGAATTGACAAGTCTTTCTTCCCCCCTTAACGTGGAAAACGCGGAAGGTGTTGGAAAGGAGGGGGAGGAGGAGGGGGATGGATGGAGGGGGCGGGAAGCCGACGTTTTGTCGCTGAGGGGGTGGGTATGATCGGGTGGATCGTTCCCGAGGTGCGGGAAAATGGACGTGAGACGTTTGGGTTCGAGGGTGGTCTCCTGGTTGGGGAAGATGATGCCGGGGCGTTGGTGCTAGGTGGAGGAGCGGGATGGGGTTGAGTTGGGGGTGAAGGGGTTCTTGGAGAGGGTGGTGGCGCCGAGGTTGCGTTGGACGGGTTTTGGCGGTGGAGGTGGAGGTGGAGGTGGAGGTGGGGGTGGATTGGGAGGCGTCAAATATATCCATTGAAAGGAAAATCTACATAGTCTAAGTAGATCGAGGAAAGTCATTAATATGGAATTCTAGACACGTTACCCAACGACGCCAGTGAGATTTCAAGGCCGAGGAGTTTTCATCACTCCTCAAACGCATCTATACCACCTTTGACAGCCCACCTGAGCGATACCTTTCTTACCACTCGACCTCTTTCCCCAGCTTACAAAGTCCCCGTCCCCGCCTTTCCGATCCCCTCGACTCTGAAACCCAACCTCCCCAACTTTGCCGTATCAACTACGTTCCTCCCATCAAACACATACATAGGCTTTCTCATCACCCTAGCAACATGGCTCCAATCCAGGCGGCCATTCGACTGACTCTGCTCAATAGTAGCGACATGCTCGCGGATGCTGACGAGTGGAGCGGTACCTTTGACAGCTGTTTCGTCTTCGTCGGCGACTGAGGTTCGAGAGCTCAGGTCTGCGAGGGAAGATTTGGAGCTGATGCCGTTGGGTGAGGAGGCTGTTTCGGAGTCTTGAGATGAACTTGAAGCTCGCTTGGCGATGCTGTGGCCGATTGTGGTGGGGTTGCTCTGGGTGACGGTGGGAGGTTTGACGGTCTTGTTGCTGAACTCATCCCATTCCGTGGCAATGACGACGGCATCGGCGTCTTCGCAAGCCTCGTACGCGGTTTTGCAGACCGTGGTTCGTTTCTTGATCTTGTCGAATTTGTCACTGCCATATGACAGACTTTCCCAAATGGCGCTCTCTTCGACTTTGGGATCGTAGATGGTGACCTCGGCGTTCTCAACGATCAGATGATTGACGATACTGATAGCGGCACTTTCTCTTGTGTCGCCCGTGTCCTTCTTGTAAGCGTATCCAAGGATGGCAACTTTCTTATTCGTGAGTGTTTGGAACAAGCAAGCGACGATACGCTTGATGAAGCGGTCCTTCTGGTACTCGTTGATTTCAACCACCGAGTTCCAGTAAGAAGCGACTTCGGGTAGATGCATGGTCTCGGCAATGTAGACGAGATTAAGAACGTCCTTCTTAAAGCAGGACCCTCCGAAGCCGATGGATGACTTGAGCATTTTAGAGCCGATACGTTTGTCTAAGCCGACGGCGAAAGCGACTTCGTCAATGTCTGCACCTGTTGCTTCACAAACAGCACTAAGGGCGTTGATGCTGCTGATTCGCTGAGCCAGAAGAGCGTTAGCGGCGAGTTTAGCCATTTCAGCCGACCATAGGTTCATGGTAATGACCCGCTCTCGAGGCACCCATCTAGAGTAGACGTCCGCCAACGCAGCACATGCTTGGAGTCCCTGCTCAGTCTTGAGGGATCCAATCAAAATCCTGTCAGGCGCTAGCAGGTCGTTGATTGCGGTACCCTCAGCCAGAAACTCTGGATTGGACAAGATATCAAACCGGACTCCAGGCCTGCCCATAGCCGAGAAGGTCCCCCTGATGCGGTCCGCGGTTTTACAAGGCACCGTGCTTTTCTCCACCACGATCTTGTCATCCTCAGCCACCTCAGCAATCATGCGTGCGGCTTTTTCGACGAAGACTAAGTCCGCTGCTCGACCGGCGCCCGTGCCTGTAGATTTTGTAGGTGTGGGAACGCAGAGGAAGATGAGGTCTGCTGCTGCGATGGATTCTTTGACTTTGTCAGAGAAGATGAGATTCCGGGTTCGATCAATGCCATCACGGGCGGGCTTGAGGACCTCGATGAGGCCGGGCTCGTAGATGGGAAGGTGGTCAGAGTTCCAGGCTGCGATTCGCTGGCTGTTCAAGTCGGCCACTGTGACTTGAATGTCGGGACATTTGTTCGCTATGACGGCGCATGTTGGCCCTCCCTACGTACGATTAAATCCGCTCCTTGAACAATACAACTGGCCAGTAGGGTTATCAATACTGACCACGTAGCCTGCTCCTAGTGAGCAAATCTTCCTTATTTTTCTCCTCACAACGGGCGTCTGTGAATCGAAGGAGATACTGTCAGGATTGGAGGATGGTGTCTGTGTCTGGGTAGTCGCTGATTTGGTAAAGTCTTGAGGAGGCATGTCTACAATTCGACCCTCCATGATCAGTGGCATAGAGCAGATTGGTGGACTGTCAAGTCTTGAAGAAGTAGGTCACACGAGGCAGTGCGGGATGGAGGTCGTATCGCAGCTAGCAGATACGGAGGGATAGGCTGCTCTGATCTCAATGGGTTGAGAAGGAAAAAAGCTCCCATGACCCAATGAATGGCTTGGATGTACACACCACCTTCACATCGTCTTGGGATCTTGACAGATTTCCTAAACTCCTTCTCCTAATCCTTCTCCACTTTTGGAGACCGGGGAATGGTTCGGCGAGCACAATTGAGATTGTAGAACATGCAACAAAGATGCAGATTGCGGAAGATATTCTGCAGAAGCCTGGATGCGGGTTCCTGTGCTAGCTCTTAGAAGCAACTGATCGTTCCGTGGCTGCAGTTCTAGCTTCTCTTCAATATACTCTACTGACCTGGGTCGTCTAAGCTTAAGTATAATAAAATTTTGGCTTACGTGGCCTTTGCCCTGAAAAGCCTGGAATCCACGTAACAAGTTAGGAGCCGTTAACATCTCTTACGTTACTAAAGTAACTTCTTGCGACAATAGTCGTGTGCCCATTTTTACGGACCAACACGCGCACCTACAAAATTCCCTTACCCTACACTAAAAACATTGCTCCAACAATAATAACATGAGCACGCCATCGGAGATAGAGTCAAGCCGAACAAGTGCGCGAACACTTAAGTGCATGCATGCATGCAAGTACGAACGACTCGCATAATTCTCTCAACCTCGTGAGATTTTGGAGACAGCGTTGAAAGTGCCGATAGCCTTCTTCCATGACATTCGCTACCAGCCCAATGCTTTTTGGCCTGATCTTCTGGGAGCTCGAGACGCCTGCATAAGATTGGTATCTTAACGAATAAATTCGGCACGAGCTGTCCCATAATACGTAGTAGGTAACCAAGGTCTGACAATTCCTTTCGCTGAAGCTCGGCTGAAGCCGGCGGCTGCCTATCATCGCTCTTCTCTTTCTTCCCAGCTTATCAGTTAAGACACCCTCGGGGCTGCATCAGCATCGCCGCGCAGATCCTTCGCCATTGTAGCTTCCACCTTTTTGCCCTTGGAGTCCAACTCCACTTTACTGTATATTCCTGCACCCACTAGAGTTACCAGCATACCGGCTCCATTCCACACGCCCACCGTGACATCAAAAAGTAGGATTCCGAGTAACACAGTGAGACACTGCTTCAAATTGGCGCACACTGTCATGGTCAAGGCGCCCGCGAGTTTGTTGGTCTGAAAGGAGGAAACGTTTAGAAGAAAGGCTAGAAGACCATTGCCAAGGAGTGCAGAACTGTAAGAAGGTGTGAGGTTGCCTTCTGCGACCCAGGCCAGGAATGCGCTTGCTTCACCGGTAGCAACAGCGTAGAGAAGAGATTGCAGTGCCGCTAGAGGTGACATCCGTAGAAGAATCTCGAGCGCAGGGAGCGCGAGACTCCCGGTCATGATTCGATTCGACATGACCGTCTTCAGCGCGGAGAGGACAACGCCAAAGAGTGTGAGGGTGAAACCAATTCCAGTAAAGTAGTAGTCACCGTACGTGGCCAAGCCGACGCCGAGTATGACTGGTATGAGAGATATGTAGGTCGCTTGGGAGTATGTCCGTCCGTAGAAGAAGCGATAGATGAGAATGGTGAAGATGGGGCAGGTAGATCGCATGATTTGGTGGAATGGCACGGAGACCATCGCCCTATTTCCATGAGTCAGTGCTGTTTGGGGACTGTACGGCGGACGGCACTGACAGTGATACGTTCGAAATTGCTATATTAACGGTGAACAGAAATGAGAAGCTGATCAAGACCAAGTGCTCTCGGGTCGTGAGCTTTGACAACTTGAAGTGGCCGCGTAACATGAGTATGTAGCAGCCCAATGACGCTGAGGTCGTGTGCAAGGTAGTGAGCAGCCAAGGGAAAGCGAACTGCGAAATTCGCACGTCAGTACAAGTCCGAAACGTTGTCGGAGCTCTGGGAACAGCCTTAAAAGGCATAGCGAACGCACCTTTCCGAGTACTGCCTTGTTATAGAGAGTGAGGGTGAGGTTCAAACCGAAATATAAAGCCAAATAGAGATACTTGGTGCTTGTAGGTATTTGATATTCCGGTGCGATTGTCGCTGTACTCTGTGCTCGAGTATGCCGGCTTTGAGCCTCGACGTCGCTCTTGATAATCAGAGTCTCCTTTTCCAGTCTTGAGTCTTGACTGTTGGTTCTCTCATCTTCGCTGCCATATGAGGAGTCGTGATAAGGACTCTTTTCTGCCATGGTCGCCGTTGGATATGATGCACAACTAAGATGGTTGGGTGACTGTAAGATGGATGGAATCGCTGCTGGTCATGATTATACTGGGATGCTGTGCCAAGGGTTTGAATCCGTGGGAGGCGCCAAGGCAAGTCTCCCAAACTCTCGCAAACGGAGCCTGATGGCTATTCCTTTCGGAATTTAGGTAGCGTGCTGCGACGGAGCAGGAGAGTCCTCCTTCTGGATGGAAGGCCAAACCTGTACGTACTCTCTGTAATTCTGGATGCAAGGCCTAACCTCTTGCCGGTTGGGCCGAAGCTGCGAGCCTGCGAGGTAATCTTGTGGAAGGCTGGCGGTAAAAGCGGCAGAGCCAGCTGCCAAAAAAGGTACGAGTGCTGCAGAGTTAACACTAACAGACTCTGTCTGCAAGCCACTCCGCTATTCGCTGTACGATAAGGATGACGATGCCCTCAGATTGTTCATGCACAGAAGGGAGAATTTTTGAGTTGATATGAGTTTTGAGAGCAAAGAGCAGAGCCGAGCGTTAATTACTTTACATGTAATCAACCAGATTAAAGTACCTCATGTATACCTTAGTTAAGTATCATTCGCCCGAGATTCCGAACAAGAGACTTGGCATCATTTCATCGGTTCGAAAGTCAAGTAAATTCTAAGACGCGGAAGGCTGCGTGGCTAGCGTGCTCAGGCCCTTGAAATCCGAACAACCCCTTTCCTTTAGCGTGCGCGCAAAATACTTACAAGTCTTTGGCGATAAGTCGGGAACCAGCTCCACCTTGAAGACCCGCGGTACAACTTCTCTGCTGGCGCAGAACATCATTATTATAATGTGCGTCCAGGAGCATTTCGGCATTCGGTACCGGTCTTTTACTCTGCTTTGCTCTGCAATATACTGTATGTCTGATATCGATCCCTCGACCGGAATCTTCGCGGAGGATTGAGAAACTTGGCAGGAGCGAAGTCCCGGGTCGATGCCTTGTTACCACCGTCGCTCGAGGTAGATTGCTTCAAGCGACGACTAGAGACTCATCATAGCATTCTACCTTCATAATGGTGTTCCTCCGGACCGGCGCCCGTGGCACTTTTGTACAGAAATCTTTAATCATCATCTTAGCATTCATATGTATAGCTTCTTTGTTAGCGAACCGCGAGAAAGTAAGTTCTTCTATGCCGTGTGGCACAGTGTCTCTCCAATTTGCAACTAAATCTTGATCCAAAATAGCTTTCTACCTCGATAAATAATACAGTTGGACGGCCCCAGCAATCATCGAACCCGGGTGAAGCTGCTTCACAAAATGCGCAGGCGTCCGCGACAGATGTGCAGGCTCCACCAAATGACGTCAAGTCTTCAGATGCCCATCTACACCTCCTCATACCTGCAACTAGCAGCAACCAATACCTCTGCCAGCTCCTTCTCTCAGCAGCTATCCTGAACTATCCCACACCAACTCTCATCAATTGGGCCACCAAGGAAGACAACAACGCATATGTCCAGCACATTGCAAAGGTCAGCAAGATTCTTCAATACTTGGAGAGCTTTCCCCAAGGGAAAGAGAAGGACTTGGTCCTCATTGTCGATGGATACGATGTTTGGTTCCAGCTGCGTTCAGACGTGCTGATAAAGAGATACTTTGCCATCAATACCGCAGCCAACAAGAGGATATCGAAAACCCTTGGGAATGTGGCCGCAAAACAGGACATCAGACAGACAGTGATATTTGGCCCGGACAAGCTATGCTGGCCCTCTGGGAACGATGGAGGCCGTGCTGCTTGTTGGGCATTGCCTCAATCCACGCTACCTAAAGATGCATTTGGCCCCATTAATGATACGGACATTGTTACCGCGATTTCTGACCCAGTCCACTCTCGACCACGCTGGCTGAATTCTGGAACCGTCATGGGTACTTTGGAAGACGTGCGAGCTGTATTCGAGGCCACTTTGAATTTTGTCCAAAAGAATCACACCTCGGACTCCGACCAGTGGTACCTCGCCAACCTGTTTGCCGAACAAGAGTACTCGCGCACATTACTGCAACAAAAGCCATCTTTCAACGCGCCTGCAAAGCCCGAGATCCCCGTCATTGAAAAGGGCCAGAAGACCGAATATCACATCGGACTTGACTATGAATCTGAGCTCTTCCAAACTGTTGGCTACTACCAAAAATTCATCTCTTGGCTGTGGTTTGATGCTGCCAAAGGCAAAGGGCAGCAGCTCAGCCAGTCCTTCACCAACTCGCACGGATTCGAGCTCCCGGAAGACATTCTTGCATCGCCACCACCTTTCTCCGTGGAAAGCAAGTCTCACTGGGAGACTACGAATGTGGGCGATGAAGAAACCAGGGAAGCCGCAACCAGATTACCTCTCGATCGCAATTGGAAAGATCTGCCACTTGCTACCAATGTCGTCACGAAGCAGATTTTCGCGGTTTTACATTTTACCTTTGTGAAAGAACTGCGGGATGAATGGTGGCGGAAAATGTGGTATTATCAGCAAGGCAAAGAATTGCTCTTGGCCGCTACGAGACAGCACAAAGCTCCAACCATCGATAAGCCTGTTCAAGGACAAATGTGGTGGAATGCAGAAGCGTCTCACTTGGCGGATTCTGAACAGGTCCTGAAGTCGACACAAGGCCAGAAAGGCGGTGCCTGGAGTGACAAGGGGAAATGGGTCCCATGGGATGAGGTGTGCTTGGCATATGAAGGGCTCATCTTTCCCGCGAAGAATAAAGGCGGATGACGGCTGGCGCTGGAGGTGGCTTCGGCGGATTGGATACATTATTGATCTGTGAGTATTGAATATAAGTATAAACGATTTAACGATCTTTCATCGTCAAACCCGAGACGGCCAGTTCCCGATTTGTATGTTCTTGCATTCTTCATAGGAAGAACATATGGTCCGACATCCACTCAAGTGCACAAGCATCTCGCCCGCAATTGTCTCGCACTCCATGTACACTATCTTCCAACGGCAGATTTATCAACAGGTCCAGGACTGCTCCAAAACAAATGCCTACAGTGAAATGCCGCTTGACGTCATTCCGACAGCGAAAAGTGGAGCCCACAAAGTATACTGATATACAAATCTGCTGAAGGACCTTTAGTTTGACAGTGCGTACAGGAGTTACATTTTGGAATAGCCTGACAAATCTGCCAAGGCTTCCGAAGAATTTAATTGACTTTTGAAGAATATTCGGGGGCGAAGACTTCATTCCCTTGCCAGCCACCGGCTCTATCTGAGCTGCCGTTCGACATTCGCGCCCATGGATTTACAGGAAGAGAAAGTTGGATCTACCAAGCCGCGGCTCTGGCCCAATCATGATGATTCGAGCGTCGAGTCCTTCGAAAAGGATCTTGCTGCAGCTATTGCCTCCGATCATGCCCAGGGATATGATCGCGCTACGGGACACCGAGTCTTGCGAAAGATCGATTTGTATCTGATTCCATGGATGTGGCTTGGCTATGGATTCGTCTACTATGACAAGGTAAGAGAAGAAGTAGTGAAAGGGGGAAAGAAAAGGCATGATCTGATGCATCAAAAGGCCATCCTAGGCAGCGCTGTCCTCTTCGGCATGACCAAAGACCTCTCCCTCAGTGTCGTCGATACACGCACCAACCCCGCAACGACCGTCACAACACGCCTGAGTTGGGCAACATCAATCTTCTACTTCGGCATGCTCGCCGGTCTCTACCCTATGACTTTCATGCTCCAGCGCTTCCAGATAGGTAGGGTACTGGGCGTTCTAGTCATCCTCTGGGGAATGATTGCAATGCTTACAGCCACTGTCACGTCTTGGCGTGGGCTTTTTGCTCAGCGCTTCTTCCTTGGGTTTGTCGAGAGCGTGATACCGACCGCTTTCATGTGCATTGTCAGCGGATACTATACGCAACAAGAACAAGCTCTTCGCCAAAGTTGGTGGTTCTCTTCAACCGGTGGTTGGACGATTATCGGAGGTGCTTTGAACTACGGCTTTGCTCAGATCACGGGTGGATCGTTGGCGAGATGGCAGTATATTTATCTGTTGGCTGGCTCGCTGACCGTGCTCTTTGGATGTGTGTGTTTTGCAGTTCCCAATTCCGAGGTGTCGGCTTGGTTCCTTACGCCGGCAGAGCGCATAGTTGCTGTGGAGAGGCTGCGGAAAGGCCAGACGGGCGTACGATGTCAGAAATTGAAGGGTTCGCAGATTCGAGAGGCAGCATTGGATGTTAAGATATGGCTCGTTGCGCTCATGATGGCGGCTGCGTATACTGTTAATGGTGCTGTCAGTGGCTTTGGACCTCTTATTGTGTCCACATTTGGGTACGTCTTAAAGACCTTGACGGGCTTAATTCTTTGCTGACCAAGGTTACGACAGCTGGTCGACCCTTGACTCAATTCTTCTCCAATTTCCGCTAGGTGGGGTCTGCTTCATCTTCATTCTCCTCACCGGTTACCTTTCCAGCAAGATACCTAACATTCGCCTCGTTCTCCTGATCCTCTGCTGCTTGCCTGTAATCGCTGGGTGTGCAATGATCTGGCGAAGCAGCTGGACCCATCGAGCTGCCACACCTGTAGCTGGCTACACTATCATTGGATTCTTTGGGCCGGTGGTCAGTCTAATCATTAGTATCGGCATGGCCAACGTTGCAGGCGCCACCAAGAAGAGCTGCACAGCAGCCGCCATCTTTGTTGCGTACTGCGTGGGAAATGTAAGCAACGGTCACACCCTGTATCTTGATAACCCTGGTCCAATATAGTATCGCAGATAATAGGACCGCAACTCATCAAAACGCCGACGATTAAACGACATTACCCTGAGTTGTGGCTCGGCCTCATTATTTGGTTAGTGCATCACATCTCTCCTTTCGGAAATTGTTGAGGCCTGCTAATGAGTCTTTTGGCTTAGCTACTGCGTTGTCATCATTCTGGCCATCGCATTATACTTTGTCCTTGATGTGGAGAACAAGCGCCGAGAGTCTCTCCGAGTGGATGAGGAAGAGCGAGATCGACTGGCGTTCATGGATCTGACTGACAAGGAGAACCCATACTTTCGATACGTGCTATAAAGATTAGATTAGCAAGCGAGGTCGTCACCGTGCGTCTTCCTGTCCAGCCTATTACTGCTGTATAGAGAACCTAAGGTACATGTAGGTAGTGGCGTGTGCGATCTGCAGTGGTCACGTTCAAACTTATTTGAAGCTCGATCACTAGAGTGTCATTACGCGATGAAGTATCTGGGGAAGGGAAGGCCTTCCGACGAGTAAGAGACAACATCGACGCCACTAACAGGCATTTACAACGCTTAGCCTATCGACTATATGCACTTTTGATCATTTTTGGTCTTCACAGACGCAATATGATTGATTACCATCGGATGAGAGATTCATGAGATCCTACAATTTGGCCGACTAGCGCTTCCTGGGGCCCCGCTCGTCAACGATTATTCGCCGTTTTACCCCGCAACCTTCTATTTTATTGTTTGACCATGATGAGCCAGATTACGCAGAATCGCCGAACAAATGACCGAATTGCATTCAGTGAAACCCTTCACTCTACATCCCTCTGCACATCACGATAAGCCTCGTTACATGGGACCATGGACGTCATGCATTGCACCTCCCGTCATGGCCATGCATACAATAAAAGTCCAGACCCGTCCCAGGCTGCCCTTCCATCGAATCCCCGTCCCTTTACACATACCACTCGAAGAGGTCGCGGATTCCTCAATTCCTTTTGCTTTGTTCTTTTCGTTATAAAATTCAACTGACATCCCTTGGACTGCTTCACAATGTCGGACAACAGCCCCCCCAACGGTTCGAACGAGAAGGAATACTCGCCCAATGACACCATGGAACGATATGTCAACGGCAAACTCGAAGTCGAGCATGTCGAGCCCGACTCCAGACGCGGCAACTCCATAGTCCCCCGCAACTTGTCCGTAGCAACAGACAATGGTCGACAATACTCCACCGGTGGACCCAGACGACAGAGCCAATGGGATGCCATGAAAATAGCCAAAGAGGGCGGTGTCGAAATCGACGAAGAGATCGAGTTGCTCGAGGAAGAGCTGCGGAACAACCCTGTCCCGCATAGCATCTTCGCCCCTGTCATCAACTTCAAGAATCCTGCCCACTTCACCTGGCTGCTTGTTGGCTTTGCTTCTATGGGAGGCTTGCTATCGGGTATCGATCAATCGCTTATCTCTGGTGCCAATCTCTACATGCCTGCGAGTTTGCACCTCGACACCTCGCAGGTCTCTCTTGTGGCTTCTGGCGTACCGCTTGGTGCAATTGGCGGTGCCCTTCTTCTTGGGCCGTTGAACGAGGCCGTAGGCCGCAGAATGGCTATCATCATCTCCCTCATCCTCTACACCGTTGGTGCGGCTTTGGAAGCAGGTGCCATTAGCTTCGGTATGATCGTCGCTGGTCGTGTCATTCTAGGTCTTGGTGTAGGGCTTGAAGGTGGAACGGTGCCTGTCTACGTGGCGGAATCCGTGGCCAGGAAGTACCGAGGAAACTTGGTCTCCCTCTACCAATTCAACATTGCTCTCGGTGAAGTTTTCGGCTACGTCGTGGCTGCCATCTTTGTCAACGTCAAGGTAGGCCGTTCTCCCTCCCCCGAACGCTACACTCGCTAACGACCATACTAGAGCGGCAGCTGGCGTTATATGCTCGGCTCCTCCCTCATCTTCTCCACCATCATGTTGGCAGGCATGTTCTTCATGCCCGAGTCCCCCCGCTTCCTCATGCACAAAGGCCGCACCCTCGAAGCCTTCAACGTTTGGAAGCGTATCCGCGGCACAGAGCTCCAAGAAAACCGCGAAGAATTCTTCGTCATGAAGCACTCGGTGATCAACGAGCTCGAATCTAAGGAGACCCGCTCCGGCGGCTTCGCTTGGCTCGACTTTATCACCGTGCCCCGTGCTCGCCGCTCCATCGTCTACGCCAACATAATGATCTTCCTTGGTCAATTTACCGGTATCAATGCAATTATGTATTATATGGCGACTTTGATGAGCCAAGTCGGCTTCGACAGCAAGCAATCCGTCTTCATGTCGCTCGTCGGCGGTGGCTCGTTGCTTCTTGGCACCATCCCCGCCATCTTCTACATGGAGCGCTTCGGCCGTCGTTTCTGGGCTTGCGCCATGCTGCCTGGCTTTTTCCTCGGTCTGCTCATCATCGGATGTTCCTACCTCATCGACTCCAAAACCAACGTCGGTGGAGCCGAGGGCTGCTACATCACCGGCCTTATCCTGTACGAAGGCTTCTTCGGCTCCTACGCCTGCTTGACATGGGTTCTACCAGCAGAAGTCTACCCCACCTATCTCCGCTCTTACGGCATGGAGTCTTCCGACGTCACCCTCTTCTTCTGTTCCTGGCTCGTGACCTACTTCTTCTCCGACATGGAAGCCGCCATGTCGCGCATCGGTCTCACCCTCGGCTTTTACGGCGGTATAGCAGTCCTGGGATGGTTCTACCAATTGGCTTTCATGCCCGAGACGAAGAACAAGACGTTGGAGGAAATCGACATCCTATTCTCGCAGCCGACGAGCCAGCTCGTCAAGCAGAACCTGAAGGGCGTGGCGGAGAACATGTCGGATTTGGCCCATGGCAGGTGGGGAAGAGTGTTCAGACCCAGTCCCGAGAGTCCGCTGCCGGAAATCCATGATGATACGCCGGTTGGGCCTATTTCGAATGCTGTGCAGGGTTAGTTGGGAGGTTGGGACGGAGAGAGAGGGAGTCGTTCTTTTGACGGAGAGGGTTGGAGGAGGGGGGGGGGGAGGACGTGGAGGTTGCGGTTGAGGAGTTGGATACTACCTTGCTCATGAACTCTGTATGAGAGGCAATCGTGTATTTATGCGTGATGGCTTCTTGATTTCGATGTATATATGTTCGTGGACACAGTAAATGAATTGAGTTGGACAGTTTGGATGGAATCTGTCAGGCCTGGCCCTGACATCACCTACACTTATAGGGCTGCATGAAGCGCGATAACCACGCATTTTTATGGGTCTATGGCCTAGTGGTTAACAGTGCTTACAGAATCAGTTCCTTTTTCCGAAAGTGTGTATGTCTATAAACTGCGGCCGCTTTCACTGCTTAGCTAGTAAACGAACTTTCCAACGGATCCCCTTGCCGAATCTCTCCCACGTAGACCGGGCCTTTCGGTATCTTACACAAAGCGAACCTCAGGTCCTCAAACAACCGATACTGGAATTCTAGTAGGATCCAAGCTACGTCAGCGCGCCCCACCGCTCTCAGCCCTCAACAACTCCGCAACGTCGTCATCCAAGTCAGCCATGGCATCCTCCCCGCTTCCAAAATCTGGGTAATCATCATCCACTTTCCGCTTCTTCGCCATGCCGCCGCCAGCACTGCCTGGTGTGCCCGGGTAGTGACGGACTGGCGGCATGGAAAGACTGGAAAGCAGATCCGCTCCTGCTGTTGGGGGTGCAATTGGTGCATGGTGGGGGGATGGAGTTGGCTGGACGTGAGTGAGCAGAGCTGCTGGAGTAGCAGTGACAGGAGAACCGGCTGGCGTGCGTGATTCCGGCGGCGGAGGGGTGAGCTCCTCGACATCTGGACGCTCTGGTTCGACGGACGCGTTGTCGTTGGGCGACATGACTCTGCCGTTCGTTCTTGGATCGGAGATCGGACTGCCATGCGCTACTACGGGCGTCGACGGCGCAGAAAGACCGCGCATAATGCCATCTTCAACATCCCGCTTCTTGGCCTCAATAACATTCTTGCGAGTCATCAGCGTCTCTTTCTGAGCTTCCTCACTGACTAAAGCGGCGCGGTTGGTCTCAATGATGCTCTCCAGTCCAGCTATGAGGCGGCGACGAGCCTTGATGCTCTCAGAGACAGCTCCCTCAGCGTTGGCGAGGTTCTTAAGTAGAGCGCTGAGGCGAGCTGCATGGACTGGGGGAGTGGGTGTGGGCTTGCTTTGGTCAGTGAGCTTGTCGTATTCAGAATCGGCTGTGGGCACAGCGCTAAGGGTTGTGGCTGCTGCTTTGGAGACGGCGATTTGTAAGGGGACGAGAGGTTCGATCTCTGAGGGCGCTGAGGGGCCAGATGAGCCAGAGAAAAGAGATCCACCGAGCAGAGGCTTCTTGCTTGAGGAGCGTGTTTTGTCGAGTTCTGCGGAGGTTTAGCAGTGTCCAGGTTTAGAGGAAGCCTGCAGCGTACCGTCTATGCGAGCTTCGATAGCTTCTTGTATGGTGGGTTCGAATATCTGTCGCTGCCTCCACACCTCAACTACTCGTCGTAGTTTCTGTTGAACTTCATTTGTAGCTCCTTTGTACGCAATGGCTGTAGCTTCGGCGATGATTGGAGAGAATGCGATGAGGAAATCATCCTTCCTCCTAGCCTTGGATTGCTGCGCGACCTCATTCGCAAGGTAGACCAAGTTGAGTCGTTTGTTGGAGCCGGAGTCCTTTAGCCGCTGAAGCCATAGAGTACCGGTGCGATCTGCGTGTCTCCTGCCATAACGAAGTCAGCCGGGAGGGTAAGTGAAAGGTTTGCTACGGGAAAACTGCCGTACCTATGGAACATGACCCATTGAGCTACAGTGACTATGCTCTCTTGGGTCTCATTCAAAGCTGACAGCTTCGCCTTGACGGCGTCGTCTGTATACGCCATCTCTACTGCTCTACAATTGTCCTGCGCCTAGTCACTGATTGGTTGTGTTGTTGTGTCGAAAGATGGTGTTGAAAACATGCTTGCGGCATAGGAGCCGGAGCCAATCTTATCCGAAGGACGTACAGGTACGGGTATAACGCTGCTGCCATTGACGTGCCTTCCTGCATCGCCACTGCTCAGCACAGCAGCTTTCTCTATTGATGAGAAAGCTAATGTCTATCTGAATAGCCAACGAAGTAGATGGTGTCTTGGAAACTAAAACGGTGTCTTTTATCCTGAAGAGCGAGCCACCACCTCGGATAGCGCCAGCCAACTATACGAGCGAAAAGATTTTCGATCAAACGGAGACCAAGCTCTCAACATTACACAAAAGACTCCGTGCTCTGCTTCATTTCATTTCTCTGGAGTATCGCAGAATTCCCCTTGCGGGACTCCTTTCGGCTCGTCGGCACAAACTTGCAAGGGCAGCGGATGACTTTCCATGTCACTTCAAAAGACATAAAGCTGGGACCTTTCCATCCGGTCTCAGTCCATAGACATGATTCCGCGTCTCCTCTCGTTCCCATCATCCTCGGACTATTCCTCGGCTCAAAGTTGTTCGAAGATCTTTTTCACATATGCAGTATCACTAAGTTGGGTATCTCTGTCCCCTTTTCAGGTTAGGCCGTGCGGAACTTCCATGGTCCCTCTCTTTGCGGGGTTCCGGGCTTCTTCGTCTCTCTTGACTTGCGGATGGCGCATGACTCTCGTAATTCTCACGATGGTCCGATTTCGCGGTTGTCCTCGTGGTCCAGGTGACATTGCCTCGCACTTAGGGCATGGGTCTTCATTCGCCGAGCCCTCCGTGTAAGTGCGTCCGTTTTGTGCCTCTTCATGGCACGCTCTCGGCGGTTGAGTCCCGGCGTGTCGATGACACCGCTTCCCAAGTACTTTGTAAGTTGTCGTTATGTGCGCAGGTTGCGCGTAGCATTCACGATGTCTGAATTGGATCTTCCGAAGAACGCAATGGGCTATCTGCTAATCAGGGGCGCGCAATATCTGCTTCTAAGCTAACGTCACTACTTACGGTCTTTAGCTCCATCGTTTCGTGCAGTCTGTCGCAGCTCTTGCGAATCGAAATACTGCGGGTGGCTTGATTGGGAAGCAAAGTATCCAGGCGATGGCCGTTGGGAATTGGAGTAAGACTGCTGCTGAGGGGAGCTATAAGATAAGGCTGTATATTGCTGCTTCAAGTCAATTACATCCGCTAGGATACATAAGTGTAGGAGCCGTTGCAATGACCGCTGGAGGACATTTCGATCGCAAACTCTTTCTACAACGACGAATACACGAGACAAAGTACGAAGATCTACCAAGTCGAGGACCATAATATGTTGCTAGACCGCCTCGACTTCACTGAAGGTCTGGAAGTGCCCCACACCCGTTCATTCCTCTGGCGTTATTGTCATAATGTGATTCGCTATCTCTGCATCACCTTGGCGCAAGGCTTAGCCTTGTTGTGGTGGAGAACTCCTTTCCGCACTGACAACGAACATCATTGAGCCTCATGATCACGGTTGTTTAACACGAGCCGGAGCGCAACTGCAATGCGCCGATGAGATTAGCAGCTCAAAATGGAGACTTGGGTAGAAAGTGTCTTCTGGTCAGAACCACCCCAGCCTCGAAATGCTCCGGAAACGCGACAAACATCCGGTAGAAGTAGGGCTATCGACATATTCCTCACCCGAAATCCACCAGCGCCAGCTCGAATATCGTATAGCGAGAGCGGAAAGCTCGCGACAGCTCCTGAATTGGCAGATACCATCAACAAACCTTTGCTGGACTCCACGGTTAATGTTGAGAATGCGCCGACCTCAAGGATATTGGCTGACAATGAACAGCCTGCCATACCAGGTATCACGCCCTTGGATAGGATCTAGTAAGCAAGATATCCGGCGAGCCAGCCGCGGACAAATCTAACATTGACAGCTACGAAAACAATTGGACCATCGCGCGAAGTCTGCTCTGCCGTGAATACGTCAAGGATGTCCCGCCTGAGGCCAGCGGTATTTGTTACGAGGATCCAGATCTCATGAAATTCGAGTTATTCCTCAATGCAGCCGCCAAGAGGAATGACCTGAGCTTCATCTCGATGGGCTTATCCACTTGTGATGGGGAACTTTTGGCTTCCAAAGGTGTTGCTTTACCTGATGTCCGACTTTATTTCACTGCTGATTTTGGGCTCTAGATCGTCGTTTGTACACTTTCGGATTGGCTGGGTGTACTGCGGAATACACCGTCGGCCAAATCATCTCTCATGGACTTGAAATATAGCAAGGTTTGGGTCTGTAGCTTAAACATTCCATCACCCGTTGAAAAGGGTAGGGCGGGTTGTCCATCGTTCATCGAACAACAGCCGTCGCTATCATTGTAAAAGTAAAAGATACGGATTTTCTGGCCTCCTCCCCACTGTGCCATAGATCTTGGACTTCTCATAACAAACTCAACCATCGACGAACAGTCATACTGTTTAATGAGCCACACTCTCAGGATGATGGCTTACCATTCACGGCATGGATTTTTCCTGACGCGCCGGGATCCGATCTTTGGGACCTACCTGCCGATCACAATTGCCCTATGGATGATGAGGCTATGGCTATTCTTTTCATACAAAGATTTGTGGCTCGAATTTGGCAAGGTGTGTTCTCAAATCTCGAAAAGGTCATTGATGAATGTTCAAAACATATCATCTATTCGGTCTGTCCCTCTCGATCTTGCCGAGACTTACAGAATTCCTGAGTGATGAGGCTCATAGGAACAGACTGCCTTTCACATACTTGACGTCAATGCTCTCGAAAGTGTAACACATAACACCTGGCGAGACATGATGACATTGCACGTCCTCGAAAAGCTCATAGTAAGTGCCACTATGCGGTCAGTCGTAGTGACCCTTTTATATGACCGGTCTTAGCCCTTCGGCTTAGAATCTAGACGATGGCTTTGCACTCTAACAAGGGAGGCTTATACACCATATTTATAGGTTGCCCAGCGCAAATCTGTCTCAGAGACAAGAGACCATGTGAGAGCCTTGATCCTGAAGCTCGCACTGACCAAGGCAAGGAGTGAGGATCCGTTGCTCCGGATCCTCGAAGCCTTAGCATCTCTCGAAAGAGCCGAAGCGGAGGACTTTAGATCGCGAGGACAGAGCATCACTGACTTGGTACGTTGGCAAGTTCGGCGAATCACTGTAAAGAACCTTTGATTGATGGCCTGATAAGGTCTACAACCTCATCAACGTCCGCAACGCCCAGGCCGCTCAACGAGGTGCCGACGCCGCTCAACAAGAAAGTCGAGATCTAGGCCGAATTAGTTGGATCACCTTCATCTCAGGGCCATTGATAGCTGTGTCGGTATGGCTCTGTCCTTACCGAAAAATCCATCTAATCTCCTAATGATGAGATTAGGGGATCTTCGGGATGAATGTGGATGTGCTCATCAACAAGCCGCCTTCCATACGGTGGTACTTTGTCGCAGTCATTCCCTTCTCGGCTCTCGTACTTGCAGTAGCTTTTGTCTCCATAAGAGTAAATAAGCGTCGGGGTGCGAAAGGTTAGGACAACAGGAAGGTTTTGAGGGAGAAGGAGAGATCATTTCAGCTGCCGAATTGCGAAAAGAAAGGATAGGTTTATCCAGGCTATATGTAGAATAGGCCGCGATGCTTCGGGTTCTTACCTAGTAACATAGGTACAACATTAAGAGCAATAGATATACTTAATGCCGCGCCCATCTCAAGCTGCTGGTACCTGAATATTTTCATCTTACACTCGCCGTTATGGCGCCTGGGGAGCAAAGACGTAGCTTGCAAAACCCATGGTTATTTTGTCGTAGACCATCTTAATCCAGGACCCGCTTTTGATACGTGTATCACAGCGGATTTTCCAAAGCTTCCTTTGCTTCACTTTCTCCACACCCCGATCAACATCACCCCCAGCCATTCGATCGTTACTCTCTTCTCTACCAATGATTTGTATCTGAGATTTATAGGCATCATGGCGGACAGGTTCCCTCCGCTGGAAGACTTCTCGGCTGGTAAGATAGCACCTCTCATCTGTGATTGCTCGTTGACTCTGTGCTGATATTGCTGCCTAGGTGATACTGGCCCAACAAGCAACGGAGCATCAGGTCACGATGGAGCTACAGCAGGGGATGACTTTTTAACACGCGAGCGAGCAGCGCTGGGAGATGATGCCGCCCAATTTGCGTCTGCCGGTGATAACGCTGCCACTGTTGAAGATGGGGACGACGATTTGCTAGGAGGTGGAGGAAGCTATGGAGGGGCCCAGGCTGGGAGCGAGGAGATCACGGCGTTCGAGAGCTCCTTCCCGGCAATGGATACTCGGAATGAGGTAAGCTTGGTTGTTGGGCGTCTTTCAATAGACATTGAACTTAGCAGCTGATTAATCCATTCAGAATGTTGGACCTGGGGGCACAATCACAGGCTCAAGCCTTCCTTTCCAACCAGCCCAACCTCAGCCATCTTACGGAGGGTACGGGGCGCCGGCAGAAGAAGAGACGGAGCCCATACGGTGAGCCACCTTTTTACCGGTTTGTAGCCCAACATGGATAGTGTCACTAACTCCAGCATAGCCAATGGCGAGAACGTCGCGACCTTGCACTTGCCGAGCGAGAAAAAATTTCGGCGTCTAAGAAAGAGGATACCATCAAAGCAGCTCGACAAGCGATTGATGACTTCTACGAAAACTACTCCCAAAAGACCGAGAAGACCGTCGCAAAGACACGCAAAGATGCCGAAGAGTTTCTGGCAAATCGAGAGGATACTTCTGCGGGGGGCACGAGCTGGGAGAGAATTGCTAAGTTGGTGGACTTGAGTGGAAAGGGCACAAAGGGTGGAGCGAGCGGAACAGGCAAAGAAAAGTTCAGGGAGATGTTGATTGACTTGAGGAAAGATGAGAAGGCTCCTGGAGCCACGGGCTACTGAGTGTGACTACTCCAGGGAGGCATTGATCATATGCGTTCTAGACTAGCTATGGCGTTCGAGGCCTGTATGATACCTGTGCATTTCTGGGTCGCAGCGATAGGAGACCAAGCTATGACAACACACGTGAATATAATCAATCATTTGTGTCAATTCATTAGGTGTTGGGCCAATGCTCTGCCGTTCAAATTCTCGCATATTCTGACGAACTCGAGCCGAGCCCATCCCCCATAAATACAAGTAAAGTACTCTCCTGAATTTCCCACGCCTCGAGACATAAATCCAGTACGCCCACAATGGTAGTCAACTATAGTAAATGGGATGCCCTCGAGCTCTCCGACGACTCAGACATCGAAGTCCACCCCAACGTCGACAAACGATCCTTTATCCGGGCAAAGCAAAACCAAATACATCAGGCACGCTACCAACGACGGCACGAGATCAGTACCCTCAAATACGAGCGATTAGTAAATGATGGCATGCTCGAACGCATTGACACTCTACTGGCATCTCTCCGCAATCATGCTGCCCAAGCGCAGGGAGAGAACCCGGATGAGTTCATGATGCAAGCGTTGATGGAGTGTGCCAGGGACCCTGGGAATGACAAGCCGCCAGATCCACCGGAGGGTGTGCACTATAAGGAGGAGCAACCTCTGTACTCGCAGATGATTGCTGGCTTGGTGGATCAGGTGAAGAAAGAGGTCGGACCAGAGCCAGAAGACTGGTATAAGAGCTATGTGAAGGGCGTGGAGGGACATAAGCTGAAAGTGCAGAATCTACAGAAAGATCTGTTTGATCGGCTGGCGCAGCTGGAGAAGGAGGAGGCGAGCAAGATTACGAGTGACAGTATACATGAGGGTTTCAACACATCCTCTGTATCGAAAGAGCAAGAAATACCGAAGCCAAAACCCAAGGCAGAGGCTGTGGAGGTGCTTAATCCAGGATCACTCAAGAAGAATCCGTTACGGCGGCTGGACAGTGAAGGCCAAACCTCAGGTGCCGATGCAGATGTGGACGAGCCTGGATCTATAGACGAAACGAAAGATGATGACCAGGACATCGAGCCTACGAAGCTTGGGAAGGAGTTCGCCAAAATCAAGATAGGCGGCTACAGGGAATGTCTAAAGTTCATATCCGAGCACCATGAAGTGGTTGCGGAACGGGAGACAGATGGGCTACTCATGGAGGCCTTCAATGCCCAAATGGATGGCAAGGCGGCCTACTCTAAACAGTGTGTTCACCAAGCACTGTTGCTGCAATACTGCAGATCACTAGGTAAAGACGGAGTGGGACTCTTCTTCAAACGGTGAGCGCCTTTGTATTCTCATTCATGCCTTCACTGATAGCATGTAGGATCACGACACCTGGCCACAACGCCCAAAAAGTCTTCCTCGACGACGTCAACAATACCTACGCTCGCATCCGTACCCGTACTGCGGAATTGGCTAAAGAACGCGCCGCCAATCCCAAAGGCACCGAGACCGAAGTCGAGCAAATCCAACTGCACGCCGTAGAGCCTGGAACCGAAATCCACATCAACGTCCCCAAGCCCAACAGCACAGAAGACGTAGAGCAACAAGCTCGTATCATCTTTGAACGCTTCCCGCCAGGCCTGCAGAGGGCGTTGGAGAGTGGCAGTTTGGATCGGGTGAATGAGGTGCTGGGGAAGATGAGTGTGAGCGAGGCCGAGGAAGTAGTGGAGCAACTGGGTGAGGGAGGTATGCTAAGTTTGGAGGGGGGTGTTATCGATTCGACAACGGAGGAGGGGAGGGATAGGTTGAAGGAGCTAGAGAGGGAGGCGAGGGAGGGGAAGGAAATTGGGGAGCCTGGGGGTGTAGAGGAGGAGGCTGAGGCTGGCGCTGGCTTGAAGAAGTCGGATGTGGGGGAGAGGGGAAGGGCGAATGAGGTGCCAATAGCTGATGTCGATTAGAGGTTTGCCGAGAGGAACTAGCTATAGATTGCTTTTCATTGCTATCCAGCTGTCCCATGTTTGAGGCTACGTCTTCCCACAGTGTGAACAAAACTTTGGGCCTACACCAGCGGAATGCGAATTTACATGTACATAAAATATGTATCTTGACTTGGAATGCTATACGACGGTTTGCTTTACTCAACATCGAAGTCTTCGCCGCCCGGTTCAGTTCGTGCAGATCCATCACATCCACGGCACCATATCCTTCAATTCCGCAACCTCTCTCCTCAATCGGTCGACATTCTGCCTCAACTCGCCGATCACCGCATCCTTCTGCCGAACATTGTGCGCCTGGCTCGCTCGTTCCTCCTCAATCGTATGCCGCGCAATCTCACACCACCCAAGCGCTCGCTTCCCGTACGTAGACGTGACGAGCTCGTTGAAACGAGCCACGTCGCTCTCCCACATCTGGGCTCCCCCGGGGCTGGTGTACTGGTTTTGCCGGATGCGGAGTTGCATCTGAGCGAGGGCACAGTTCAATGAGTGTTCGTGGGGTTGGAGCGGCGTTTCGTCCGAGTTTTGTCGCTGGTTGCATCCTATGAAGGCACCAAGAGTAGAGGGGAAAGGAGCATCGGCGACAGGCATAGCAGCAGCACACCCAGAATTTGGTGGAGTGCTATTTTTGACTCTTCTTGTATCAGACCTTTGCCTGGAGTTACAGGCACGCAAAGCACGAGCAGCTGCAGGACTTTCAGGAGCTGTGTCTTCGTCATCGAAAATATCAGGATCTGTCTTGGCAGGCTGTTGCCGCAGCCAGCCTGGAGCGGGGGCGTTGGCCATGCAAGGTGTGTCTGTAGTCAGATCCTTCAGCGCTGGCAATTACTGGAGGGCAACAAGCGGCGATACGTACAGACCTAGTGCTGAGTGGTAAATGGCAGCGGTGGGATGAGAAGGTAGCAGAGCGAGGACTGATATAGCAACGCTGGCGGAAGTCTGTATGGTCAAGAAGGCAACCAAACGCTGATTGCAATCAGGCGAACTTCTGCGAATCTTTCGGGCGGATAGTTCATGCCAATTGGGCAGTCTCTAAATCCAACGAAAACGATGAACCCACACTCCAAACATGACAGCACATTTCATTCTAGAGATGGAGACCGGAACGAAAGCAATTGATTCCATCGCTAGGCAACCTCGTCCGGTGTAATAACGTATGTGTGCCTCAGCGACTACCCACAAACTCAAGTCCCGTTGCGTGCTGAGTGTCGTCCATAAGGAACCGCAGACTATCCGAGTCCTAGGAATCTACCCTTTTCCCAGGATCTTCCTCAGACTAGTCACTGCCTCAGAACAATTACTATCCTCAGCATCGTTGGTGTGAGCAGCGGATTCGAAATCAGCATCAGGCAAATCACGACCCTCATAATTATTCACCTCGTGCTCATCGAGAACCTGAGGTCCCTTTCCCTTCAAATTCGCCTGGCAATTTGGACATAGCGTGTCGTTCCACTCGAGGATGCGGTTGGTGAGCTCCAAAATTACGTTCTTCTTCTTCCACCCTTGAAGTAGCTCGATCTCAATGGCCTTCTCGGTTCTCTCGCACTGCCCTATTTTATTTGGTAGCATCCTGGGTCGGCCTAGATATGACGAGCATCCTTTGTTAGGTAAAGTCTCCGAAAGACTCACGCAAATTAGGTATGGGCATCGAGGCTCCGTCCTTTGAAGGGGGGTCATTCAAAGCGGTAGAAGTATGGATATCTACCATGCTTTGGAAGAGATCGCTATAATAGTCAGTATTAATCCTCCGTAATTCAAGGGTAGTAGACATGAGACAATGCATACACTATGGCTGCTGATAGTTCGAAAATTTGCGACAGGATGGCAGTAGACGGATGGTGTGGTGCAGGGTGTTGGTAACCAGTTCGAAGTTGTTGCAATTTCATAATCTTTTGAACCTCATACTTTTCGGAGGTCTGACCACGCTGGACAGGTCATTGAAACGTCCGGACAGAATTCTCATTCAATTGGGTATCTTGGGGAAAATACGAAAACAATGAGCCCGGACTCCACTCATGGTGGCAGCCCGTCCGACCCCACGTTCCCGCCATTGGGCTGTACAATATCTGGCTTTGATGCCGCGATTTCTGGCTGAGGCTTGGCTTCTCCCAGTGTGCCAATAGGATCAGCAGAAGGCGGAGGTAGCGGGGCCTTCGTACGCTTAGGCTTGACGAGGAGAAGGATAAACATGCCGATGACGAGAAGAAATAGTAGAAAAAGGATCTTGCGTTTGGTATACGTCTTCTGATAGCCGGTGGCCTACGAAAACAAGATCAGCACGGCGGGCAGAATTTCGGGAAAGACAGAAACATACCACATTCAGCTCCTTGTCTGCTGCCTTGACATTGACGGACATGTTCTCAATATTGTAGTCTATCCGGTCGAGCATCGTCCCTTGGTCAATGACCATCCCTTGCAATTCCTTGAAGATATCTGCAAGTTCGATGATTCCCTGCGCGATATCCTCAATCTCTCGTTCTCGTTGGGCAATTGCAACATCATTTGTCTTTAGGCGCTTCATGGATGTCTGCTGGAGAGTCGACTGGGAAAATGATTTGTCTGTCTCGGACTCCATCATAGACGGGTCTGTGTAGGGATTCTGGGAAGGCGCAGAAGTACGGTCAAATGTGAGACCGCCGAGAGTACGCAACTCTTAAACAATATTAGCACATATGCCCGCAGAACTTCTTCACGTTGCTCACTTTTGAGATAACTGCTCTGCTTCTTTCTGAAACCTGCACTGACTTCTTGTACCCGGCTGGCCAACGAGATCTGAATATTTCTTGCCATAGTTTCATCGGCTGCGCTCACACCTCCCTGGTGCCTAGCGTCCCTGACCATCATCTCAATCCTCTGAATAGCCTTTTGACAGTCATGGAAGCCTCGCGTGATTTCCTGAGTTATCCGCTCAATTGCGATCTCCTCCTGCTTCTTCACATCCTCGTCGTCGAAGCCTGGCAGCACGTGCTTTTGATGCAACTTCTCCAAGTCCGTAGACTTCTTTGCTATCGTGCCCAGCAAATCCGTAACCTCTTCTTGGATATCGACCCACCTGGGCGGCAACAGGTCCATCTCAATGACTGCATCTCCATCATCTTCAAAGGCACCAGCGGACATAAGCCCGCGGCGTTCTTCGGACTCATATCCAAAGGTGGAGAAGCCATTGGCAGAAGGTCCAATGGTCTTGCGCTTCTTGGCCGGATGATGAGCATATGACTGTCGGTAGGAGATGTATCTACACCCTCAAATCAGCTTCAGAAGCATGATGAGCGTATTGAGAGCTCAGGGGCTGAGAATGTAGGACCTACAAATTGGTCCTGTCTCTCCATACACCAGACATGGTAGTAAACCAGCCCCTGCAGCTTCAGGATCGTGATTTTCAACAGCCGGTTCTTGCACTATCACCTCCCATAGCTCAAGTATTTTTTAACTGATTGTCTGCTGAATGTGAGGTGAAAGTTGTCTTTCGACAGCGGAAGCCCTTCCGCATGAAAGGCTTGGCACCGAGGCACCAACCTAAGGGCACCGTAGTTCAGCCTTGCGGGGAGAGATCAACGGCTGCCGCTGTGAACCCTCACACGGAAACCTGACACAAATTCCCAAATCCCTCGAACACCTGCTGCCTTCTCTATACCGTTTCCCGTTTATTCTCTGCAACTATCTGTGACTGTACAAAACACAGGCTACTTTTGAATTTGAAGATCTCATCTACCAGCTATTGCAACCAACATGGTATAGTGCACTGCTCCCCGCTCTTCCCAGACCCCGCGTTTGGTGGTGGTTCCCCCCAGACGAGGCCCAAAGATAAGCTGAACACTGACTGCTACTATGATACAGGCGGACTCACTCACCGAAGAGCAAGTCTCTGAGTTTAAGGAAGCATTCTCCCTCTTCGTGAGTACTCACTCCTGGACTTTACTACACGAGGCTGACAGGTCTTGGCGATTAGGACAAAGATGGCGATGGTGAGTTATGCCAGGGCTACTCAAGACATAACTCGGGACTGCCGAGAGGACAACAGCGCTGGGATATACGCGTCTTGTCCTGCCAGTACTGACCATGGACCGAAACAGGCGTCATCACGAGCAAAGAATTGGGCACGGTAATGCGATCCCTGGGTCAGAACCCAAGCGAGTCTGAATTACAGGACATGATCAACGAGGTGGATGCGGACAATAATGGGACGATTGACTTCCCAGGTACGGGTTTCCCACGTTTGGCCGTTGCCCTGGCTGACCTGCTGCCAATGCAGAGTTCCTGACGATGATGGCTCGCAAGATGAAGGATACGGACTCAGAGGAAGAGATCCGAGAAGCTTTCAAGGTGTTCGATCGTGACAACAACGGCTTCATCTCCGCCGCTGAGCTGCGCCATGTCATGACATCGATCGGGGAGAAGTTGACTGATGATGAGGTTGACGAGATGATTCGGGAGGCAGATCAAGATGGAGACGGAAGGATTGACTGTAAGTTACCTGCTCTAAGGTGCCAGCGGCTCAGATACTAATCATGACTAGACAACGAGTTCGTCCAGCTTATGATGCAGAAGTAGGCGGAACGAGGCGTGGGACCAGGCTTGGCGATTCTTGGCCGAAACGACCTTCTATCCTGTACGACATTTTCTGACTCGGCAATGGGGAGGAAGGCTTGCATGACGAATTTGAAGGTGACCTGTAGCTCCAATTTTGATGAGTGCTGCCATCTTGCTGGTTCTTATGGAGCATCATCCGCATCTACAATTTCCTGCAGCAGACTCGTCTCGATAATCCTCTTCTATTTTCTTTACATTTCACTCTCTCGAACTAGCGGCCGATTTGCTCACGGCCGATAACCGTGCCCAGTCCCGAAGTCATTGCTACCTCGATAGCCTCTCTCATTCTTTGAGTACACTATTGATGCCAGCCGTCTATGTCCTCGGCCGTCCAGAGCTTGCGCTTGTAATCTACGAAGGGGTGCTTCGGAGATTTATTGGTGCTGCGAGACTACTCACCAACCTGGAACGTCTCCAAGTCCTATGTTGATAGGCTTTCATAATGCTACTGTTGTCTCTGTGTGGCGTGGGGACAGTTAGGATATGGGTTTGGGCACGGCCGTACTCTAATGCACCAAATATACGTGTCGAAGAAACAATGCATATAGCATAGTGATCTGTTGTTTTTCTTGGCCAGTATCCGTAAAGTATCCTGATAGGGCTGGCCCTTTTCCGTTTGCTCTGTATTTTTCGTAAAATACGCTTTCCGTGGTGCACGTCATGTCGTATTGCGTATTATTGACAATTTGGCCGACTATTCTGGTCGCTGTTGAACTTATACCTTCTGTCCACAGAGCAACAAAATCTTGACAAATTACAATGTACGAGTGCGGCTGATGGAACTCAGGCTTATACATGATGCGCAGCTCTAAGCTGCTTCTCCAGCGACTCAGCAGAGCCCCGGCAGCGAGCAGCGCCCAAGCCCATACATTCACTTTTCGCGCCAATGCTCTGCCTCTCCCACTTCAATGGAAATTTTACACGACTTCCGCAGTAGTAAAGCCCAGCGTTACAAAGCACGTTGAGTCATTCAGGTCTGGCCATCCTAGCCTGCTCGCCGCTCACACTCGTCGCACCACCACACATAATGTCCGATCATTCACTACTACGCAAGCATATTCAAGAGAGGGGAGGCATGCGGAGCGGAAGCCTGAACCGAACCCTCTTGTCCATCAGGTGGAGGACACACCAACGAAGGCAGTAAGCGAGGAAGCTACAAAAACGGTAGAGGAGGAGGAGCTGGACCATGAACAAGTAGAGCGTGGATTCGGGCGGTCAGAGAAGGCGAGTCAAGCATCCCAGGTCAACCTCAGTGCACGCCTCTCGAAAGACCCCAAAGACCAAGGCAAAGGGGCGGGACTTAAAGAAACTTGGAGGTTGATCAAGATCGCACGGCCAGAAGCTGGAGTTCTCGGATGGGCATTCCTCTTCCTAATAGTATCGTCTTCAATTTCCATGACTATACCATTCTCAATTGGCAAATTTCTGGACGTTGCAACGAAGGCAGAGGAGGGAGGCAATACGCTGTACGGCTTCGACCTGTCAACCCTCTACTTAGCCTTGGGTGGTATCCTGATTGTTGGCGCTGGAGCGAACTACGGCCGTATCATAATCCTTCGGATAGTGGGAGAACGTATTGTGTCCCGATTACGGTCTCAGCTTTTCCGAAGAACTTTCGCACAGAACGCGGAGTTTTTCGATGCCAATCGGGTGGGAGATCTTATATCGCGTCTCAGCTCTGACACCGTCATTGTTGGAAAGAGCATTACTCAAAACCTGTCGGATGGACTACGGTCTCTGGTCAGCGGAGTCGCCGGATTAACACTCATGGCCTATGTCAGTCTCAAGCTTACGAGTGTCCTAGCCATCTGCTTTCCACCCGTAGCTATTGGGACGTTCTTCTATGGCCGAGCTATAAGGAATCTCAGCCGCAAGATACAGAAGAATCTGGGGACCCTGACCAAGATCGCCGAAGAAAGACTAGGAAACGTAAGGACAAGTCAAGCGTTCGCTGGTGAGATCTTGGAGGTTGCAAGGTACAATAAACAGGTGAAGAGGATATTCAATTTGGGGATAACAGAAGCTTTCATTTCAGCTACATACTTCAGCGCGACAGGTCTCGCTGGCAATATGACTATACTTGCTTTACTCTATATCGGAGGCGGAATGGTGCAATCCGGTGCCATCAGTATAGGGGAGCTGACATCCTTCCTCATGTACACCGCATATGCTGGATCGAGTCTTTTCGGGCTGTCGGGCTTTTGGTCTGAGCTCATGAAAGGAGTTGGAGCCGCAAGCAGGTTGTTTGAGCTGCAGGACAGAAAGCCAACCATTTCGCCAACCGTGGGTTTACCCGTTTACACTGCCCGGGGTGCCATCCGGTTCGAAAACCTGTCCTTCAGCTACCCCACCCGGCCGGCAGTCGACATATTCAAGAATCTAGACTTCGAGATCCCACAGGGCTCCAATGTCGCAGTCGTTGGACCATCCGGTGGCGGAAAGTCAACAATAGCCTCACTCCTCCTCCGATTCTACACGCCTACTCAGGGCTCCATCAAAATCGATGGCGTCGACCTGTCCACCATGAACGTCAAAGCTTTAAGACGGAAAATTGGAGTCGTGTCTCAAGAGCCTGTGCTTTTCTCTGGAACGATTGCGGATAATATCTCTTATGCAAAACCCAACGCCACTCGCAAAGAGATAATTGAAGCTGCTCGAAAGGCCAATTGCCGATTCATTGAAGACTTCCCCGATGGCCTTGACACTTCTGTGGGTCCGAGAGGGGCAATGTTGTCAGGTGGACAAAAGCAGCGAATAGCAATTGCAAGAGCTCTGGTAAAGAACCCGGACATCCTGATCCTAGACGAAGGTAAATTTCAATCTTGACCCCAAAAATGCCCCTTATACTGACCTCCCTCAGCAACATCCGCCCTAGACGCAGAATCCGAGACCCTAGTCAACCAAGCCCTCGCTGCCCTCCTCAAAGGCAACAACACCACCATCTCCATCGCCCATCGCCTGTCAACCATTAAGCGCTCCGACAGCATCATCGTGCTTTCTTCCGACGGCAAAGTAGCACAGCAAGGTTCTTATGCTGAGCTCAGCCAGGATCGTGATGGGGCCTTCACCAAGCTGATGGAGTGGCAGATGAGCGGCGGCGAGACAAAGGGGGAGCCGGAAGTTACGAAAGATGTGGAACCAGAGGCGAAGGAGACGATGGGCGAATACGATGATGTTGTCGAGGGGCTGTCAGAGGAGAGCGAAGTAGAAGAGGACGAAGCAGCTTTGAAGTCGAAGAGAGGCGACGAGGCGGGGCCGGAGTCGGTCTTGGACAAGTCTCGTAAGGGGGAGATGTGATTGCATGTACAGCTGGCAGCTGGGCTGCTTTCGGATATTGTAGGCATAATCTCGCGGAGTCGATCGCATTGCCGTCGGCGTTGATCATCCCGGGGTCAGGGAGCAAGGAATGAAGACTTGCGGAGAGATATCACCCCCCTCGCGGTGTTTATGGGATGGTCATAGATAGACGGAAAAGCATATCTTATCAAATCCCCTCAATAGGAGTATTCCATTCATCTACACCCGTCAGACAGCTTGGACGCCGTGCAAATGCTGACGCCACCAAATGCCATGCTCGCTGCCAGCTGTGTCTCCGACGAAGCTCCATACACCACTAGATAAGAGTAGATCATATCACGCCACGAGAAAACTCAGCAAGCTCCCCACTGTCAATCCGCCTACGAGCATCAATCCCATGAAGCCGCCCGCAGCCTCCCTCTCGTCCACGTCCACCCACTCGCCTGCACCCATCATACACGTAGAGCCGAGATACCCATTGCTTAACCCAAACAAAAATTGCACAACGACTAGATAAAACGCATCACTCGCTAGAGCTGCGCCCCCGCCCTGGATATTGCAGAGCAGATACAGTGGTATGAACGCAAACCTCGCCACGCTCATCAACAAAAGCGTTCGCGGCCAGAGCACGAGGTTTAAGCGCGGGATGGCCGTGATGAGGCGACCCAGCAGGTCGCCCGTGTTCCAGAAGAGGAAGGCGAGCGGTATGAAGCACGCCGGTTGGAGTATCCGGGGTGCGGTGTCGGCGGGGCGCACGCTGACGATCTGCTGCGTGAAGACGGGGAAGAACATGGTGATGGCGAACGTGAGGAACACGGCGCTGGAAAGGTAGCGCAGCTTTTGGAAGAGGGTCCACAGGCCCACGACCTTGCGGGAGGCGTGCTCCGGCGCCTCGGCGCCTCGATCGGGCGTGCTGGCGTCCATGGCGTCATCGGGGTGCCTCCGCAACAGCAGCATGAACGCGAGGAGCGCAGCTACCGAGACGGCGGTGGCCGTGAGGAAGTACGCGAAGGCTGATTTGCCGCTCTCCTGAGGTACCGTCGCGCCGTCCCGTCCGTCGTCGTACGTGGGCGCGGAGACCGATAGCACGGAGACTATCTGCGCTATACAAGGCAGCACGCCCGCGACGGCTTGCCCGGTCATGATGGCCTGCGTGTATTCCGCCATGCCGAACCCGGCGACGTAAGCGAAGACGCCGTTTTGGCAGAACCCGGTGGCTAAGCTGGCTGTGAAGACGATGGCCATGAGGAAGCCGAAGTATGCGCCCGGAGACACGCCTCTGAACAGGACGGTTGAGAGAGCGAGGAGCGTGAAGCTGACGATGTTGAGGATGAGGGAAAGGATGATGCGGTTCGGGTAGTTGGCGCCTTTTTGTAGCTTGGTCAGGAGGAGCATGGAGACGAGGTTCGTGACCGTAGAGACGGAGATCAGGGCGGGAGAGAAGGTGGAGAGGAGGGCGTGGGAGGAGCGGAAGCGATGCTGGAAGTAGGGGGAGGCGGCGAGGAACATGTTCCTGCGTGCTCCTGGTCAGACCAGGTGGGCTGGGGTTGGCAAGTGGAAAGACTCACCAGGCCCATAGCATAGAGACTCCGAGCAGGAGGAAGATGCCGTATTCGAGCCACGAGAAGCGTGGCTTACGCGCTCTTCGGGGCTCGTTGCTATCGGAATCATCGTCGAGAGGCTCGTAGGCGGGCGAACGCCGCGGCTTGAGGGCGTTGCGGATACGCTCCATTATGGACGGGATATGCTAGAAGCTTGGACGAGGTCTGATTATCATGGCGGATCTGAGGATATCTTGACCTGGATAGATGAGAGCTGCTGACTATTTTACTGTTGGATCGTGACGCTGCAACGGCGCGAATGATGCCAATTTGGCGCTACTTTCTTTTAGCTGGAGACAGTATAATGCCGTCGGAGAACGTAAGACGGACAATCTAATGGCTCCTTTGCATCACGGGTTCTGATACGGTCACACTCCAACGCAGCCTTAGCACGCTGGATACACGCATGAATTATTTGAATGGACAAGTATCGGAGGCGACTACTCTCCTGGTCAGCCAGCCAGAAAGCCGCATACCACCTCTCGAGCACTATGGTACTCCCAACGCTCCGCAATTCCCGGCCAGAGCTTGGTTCCTAAGCCAAGTAGAGCCATGATCATATCCAAATCTTCTTGACTTTCCGATGTCTTTCGGGTCACCGCCATTAACTCCCTCAACATGTGGTGCAGCCACAGGACATTGGTCATTGGCACATACTCCTTCCACATTTGACTTATAGTGACCCCCGGCTTCTTCTCCTTTTTCACTATGTCTCGCATGACGCGATACACATCGTACTGCCTCTGAGCGTCGGGGTCATCATCGATCTGCCGGAAGATAGACTCATCTATAGCGGTTGCCAGCACGTCGCCGGATTCGAGGGTAAGGCGGGATTGAGTATAGTCGATCAATGTTACCTCGTGCTTGGACAATCTGGGGATGCCGTTCTCGGTGGTCAGATCCAATGGTTCATCGCGTATCTTGATGCATACATTTCCCGGATGCAAGTCACGATGCTCGAATTCTGCCTGCGCTTCGCCGCGCATCAACGCCTCTGCAATTCCCCAGAACATATCCGATGTTTCTTGAACCGAGTAGAGCTTTTTTTCCAAACGTGCGGTGCACAGCATGGAATCAACGTCCTGTCCGGCGTCCGTCATCTCCATCAAAAGCCATAGTTGGTTTTTTGACGAATATTCATCGCTCATGTGCGTTCCGTACCATGTATCGTTAGGATGCAGGTTCTTTGCCCATGACTCATGAGCCTTCCCAATCTGATCTGGCACATAGCCTTTAACAACGTGGGCGCTTCGAAACTGAACAAATCCGTCAATGTCGCTCATAGCAAACAGCATTTTGACTTCGGTCGCTGCGTCTTTGATCAGGGTCTGATTGTGGTACGGACGAGATCCACTTCCTTTGCTGGGCTTAAGTGGCATGAGCTTCCAGACGCTATATTGGCCAGGCTCATCGTTCAGCTCCATCTTCAGCACCGTAGCGAAGCTTCCTTGGCCAATTTTGCTAAGCTTGACCCCTTTCTCCCATCCTTTGCAGAACTTTCGAAAGTCTACGACCTCGTTGTTCACAAAGTCAAGGGACGTAAGTTCCGAGATCTCCGTCGGCTGATGGCTCTTTACCGTCCGTTCTATACACTCGTCAGCATTGTTCCCCATGCTCACTGGTCGATTCAATAGCTCACCCGTCGGCTTTTTGCCAAACCAGGCCTTCCTTCTCGGTCTGTTCTCCTTGTCTACTCTCGAAGTCAGTGATCCCTTGCTCTGACAAACAGCCACGTCTAAGACTTACCGTCATCCTGATCTGCAGTCTCAGCGGCCTGCTCTCCTTCAGGCGCGGCATTCGGTTCAAGTAACGGCTCATTATGGCTGTTGGGTGTAGGGGCAAGGACCCGCGCAATCGCATTCGTATCTACTCCTGTCAGCCAACCCGTAGGTCCAATAGAGAGGTAAGAGGTCTTTTGTACCTGGCTTAGACGGACTGATGGACAGGTCGAGGAAGATGGAAGCAAGGTCGCGACCCTTCTTCTTTCCATACGTCTTGCCTTTTGCTACCATCTTCTTTGCCGCATCGCGGTACTCTATGCCCCGAGTCAGTTTTTTATGTATAGATATATATTCGGTGTGCACCGTGTCGAAGCACTCACTCTTGAGCCCGGCGCCGGCCATTCTTTCTTCCAGTTGATGGGGCAATCGGTGATAAGGTAGACGGACTTATGTCCGGACTCTTACTCAAGAGATGCATGGTGGAGGGAGCTATAGACTAGCTTCCGCGCTAAGCGAGGCAGCAAAGTCTTGGCGTTTCATAGGTGTCTGATTGTATCTATTGGGGTATTTTGGGACTATCTACCTTATACAGTTCCAAGGTCATCACTCCTCGTCCTATACTCTGCTCTCTTTATACGCCATTTATCCCGGGGCTTTCGTCCTATCCGTTCCTCCACATTTCTTCCAACATGGCGCCATACTCGGAAGAACCCTTTTCCCCAAATCTCTTCCATCTTTTGGATATACACGCTCTCAGTGTAGGACACCAGAGTCCTCTGTTCTGATCTGGCTCGTCTGTTGATCTTCCGCTTCGAAAGCCCGGTGCCAAATAAAGTGTTGAGTCGATGTCTGCAGATTCGGGCAATTTCATCTTTCCCAATGGGCACCCCACGCTTTCTCAATTTGTATAGCAGGTGCAAACCCCATGTCCACCGGAACCGAGGAACATCTTCTACCGTTGAAGCCTCCCTGGACCTTCTCGATTTTCTACGAGATTTCATGATATGTTGAAAGCCCCAAGCAACGATTGCATGCCGTGCCGCGGTTGTGAATAGGGTGTTGAATAAGCGTTGAGGATCGCGATTCGCTGACTTCTCCGGCGACACAGCCCCCTCGATTAATGTCTGACCACCATGACCAGAAAACAGTAGCCGTTTTGGAAGAGCAGCCTTAGCTGCGGGGCTTGAATACCAATCCACCAGCCAGAGCGCCAGATTCTCAAACTCCGTCAAGCGCCCGGCCATGCCCAGGCGTCGCAGGATCTCTCTCCAAGCTATGATAGGCACGAAGTGGCCGGATTGCATAGTCATCCGTGACGCTTGGATTAGGATTGCCAACTCCTGTGTTCCGTCCGCACCACGCCCAACCTGTCTCCTCGAAAGCCAGCATACACGGAGGTGCCTGCTAGATCTGGCGCTGAGCGGTATGCCCAATCGCTTCAATTCCTCTAGCGTCGCCAGCACCTTCTTTCGCCTCCCAAGCGTGATTTGACAGCGAAGAATCAAGTTCATCCGTACCATTTGCAGTTCTTTCACCTCACAGCCGGCGGTGAGCACAGCAAGTGTTCGCTCAATCTTCATCAGGTCGTTCTCCTCGCAGTACTGGGCGAGTAATCGTTCCTGAAGGTCGACATCTCCAAATGTATCCGGGTGAAGGTCACAGTCCACGACGGACTTCAAGATTCCTCGCTTGTTCTCCATGGCTAAACCACGGACAAGAGTGCAAAACACAGTACTGTCAAGAGATATTCCAGCACTTTTAAGACGATCAGTATGATGACAGATGGCGCCAGGATCGCAGTTATCTCTGACAGCGATCTCCCTCAAAGAAAGAGGTCCAATTGTTTCTGCGGCCACCATTTGCAAACCACTGATGACGGTGTCAACGGAGAAAAGCCGCGTAGCGAAAAGCCTAGCGCAGAAGCTGTCGCTCAAATGTTTTGGACCAACTCCATGAACTTCACCAAGCTGTCGATTCAAGATTTCACGACTGATGGCCGCGTCCCTTCGGACAAAGTTTTCGGCCACATTCGAGACCCCGACTTTGGCTTCACTCAGCGCTCTGACGATAGTTTCAAGCCGAGGTCCGTCACCAATGTAAGCGAGATGGTCGAGCAAGGGTTTGATGTCAGTGAATCTCATAGGAAAGTCCCTGGCGTCATAAAGAAGGTCATTCCACTTGAGAACTTCGTCGTACATTTGCAACATGCATAGATGCCAAACAACGGTCCTGTACATCCCGGGTATGGGATGATCCCTGTACAAGCCTTGAAAGTGCCCGGAGCTACCCCAGCCGAGGGACAGCTTGAATATCCTTTTGTAATCTCCAAGCGAAGGGGGGAAATCATTTCTGAGCTTCAAATGCCAACGGTATGCTGAATCCGGTTCCTTTTTCAGTACAACGGAGACAATGCCATGGTACATCCCCAGCCAAGATCTCCCCGTAGATCGCTTTAGACTTAAAGCATAGGTGACAATATCTTCGAGTAACCGAGAATCGTAAAAGCCTGCCCGAATAAGAAGGTCCCATAGCTGGTTCGCTACATTTCCCAGTGTCGGTAGTCGCAGGTCCCGTCGAAAGATTTCAATGTATACCGCTACCGTACCTTCGGCGCCATGATGTCGTTTCCGAAAGACAATCAGCTCCAGCCATAGTTCCCAATCCCGAGCGTGTGACGGGTCGTCGACCAGGCGCGGACCGTGGACAGCCGGCGCTTCAAGATTCGACTCGTACTGGTACTGCTCCAATGTCACCAAGCGACTCCTCCAGCTCTCGGTGTCTCTTTCGGCCTCGATGGGCAGACGCGATTGGATCCTCGAGCTGAGATTGCCGCTGCGAAGATCGTGTTGGGTCCCTGGGAGCATCGGGAGATCCGGCTGGACTGTCGATCGGGAAAGCCCGGCCCCCTCGACGCCGTCGAATATGGGAGCATCGGGCAAGCGTGCGCGCGCTTTTGGTACATCAGGCCAATTGCGTTCAATGGCTCCCTCGGCCTGTCTATCGGCCTTGGTCACGGACGGGACCTTCCGGATCTGGAAAGTCCTGGGTTCGGATCCTGGAGGCTGCTCTCTTCCGTTCTTTTTGGCTGCATATCTCCTCGACTGTCCCTGAGTGGGAGTCGGGGGGGAGTAGCGCTGGCAAAAGCCGTCGCCATTTGAGTGCACGGCACTACGTGTTACAGATCCGGCAGGAGGGCTGGCCAGAAGTCTCTGCAGCGCCAGACGCATTAATCTATTCTGGCGTTAGTATTGTGTAGGGGCATTGAAAAGCTGATCCAGGACGAAGTCGCGAAACATTAAGGTAGCTTTAGTGCTAAGCTAACAAAAATGTGTTCCAGCGTCATCCTCTATCGGGCCTAGGTAGAGACACGGCAAGGCGGCTCCGCTAGTCCTCAATTGAGTAAGGCGTCATCTGGCAAAACTCTCGAGAAAATGATTGAAACATCTTGACATCCCCCGCTATTTTTCACCATCTTCGCCCTCGATTTATATATTCCGAAGTGATTCAACTCTCTCTATCTCTTTCCAAATCCCACGTCGTATATACCTTATCTCCCGCACGTCTGAGGATGGGATGCCCGATATCTAAATATTCAGGGTTGAGATTGCAAGACGAGTACTCGTTTCCACCCCCATTTGCACGTTACCCCCATTTGCACGCTCTTAAATCCGATAAATCCGACATAGATAGCTACCACTACCATGGCTACCACTACCACTCATTCAAATGGCCTACCACCATAGTCTACCATAATGGCCAATGCTACGGTACCATAGTCGCCATCTGTAGGCCTGGCATAGTAGGTGTCACCTCGGACCAGCTATTTTTGAAGACACGAAGAGAGGTAGAAGTTCTGTCAGGAAAAAGGCTACTGCACCTCCCATACCAGGCCCACTAATGCCACTAAATCTCGCTCCACCACAGCAATAACAGCGAGATAGATGAGGAGCTGCTCCGCCACAGTGGCGGGCTCCACCGGCTCCATCGGAGGCTTTATTAGAGGCTTCACCGCAGCAAGGTGGAAAAGATGGAAGAGGTGAAAAAGGTGGAAAAGGTGGAAGCGGTGAAAGAGATAGAAGAGGTAAGAAGATAGTAGAAGAGGAGGTAGTAGAAGAAGAGGAGGTAGTAGAAGAAGAGGAGGTAGAAGAGATAGAAGAAGAGGTAGTGACGGTTTTTTCAAGACATGGTAGGCCGATAAGGCCCAAAAAACGATGTTTTTGGTTCTCCGATCTTAAGCCTGGATAGAAATAAAAGACCATCATTATTGTGCTAGTTTGCCATACAAATTTGGTGAAAGGTAGGCATTTTGGTGTTGCGTCGGATTTATCGGTTTTAAGAGCGTGCAAATGGGGGTAACGTGCAAATGGGGGTGGAAACGAGTAGTAGCATACTCGTGGATTTCAAGAAGTAAGCTACCTCGCTTAGTAGCGGCGGGAGAACCCACCAATCAAACTATCTAATTCCCCGCAAAATCGCACTAAAATGATAGAGAAGAAAGCCATACTCTCTTATTAAATATTTAAATATCAAGATAATGATAATAGAAATAGTTATATTTATATATATATAACTATTTTAGCCTTACTACTATCTAATTAATTAAGTAGAAATTCTAAATAACTTTCTAATTAATTATCGTCGCCTTTAAATAGATAAAAATATTATATTCGCTCTTTATTAGATTAATATCTCTTAAATTCTTCTTTTTAATATTATAATACTTAATAGAATAGTCTTTCTAAATTAAGTAAATTATAAATAAAAAAAGAATATACTAGAATATTTTTTAGAGTATAAGAAGATTAATACTATAACTAAGCGTATTATAATTATAAAGAATTTTAAATAAAAGAATATTAATAAGAGATACTTTAGAAGAGAGATATCTATTCTCTAAATTTATTACTATTTTTTAAATTATAATAAAGCTATAATTTATCTCATTAGCGGGCTATAACTTACTTATTTCATTTCCAATTTATAGCGGAGTTTCACTTATTTTTCAACTCTTCTCTAGCCTTATCTTTATGTCACGGTACGCCAAGGCCTCCTCCAGAGCCACCATCTAATTGGGCCTAGCGTGGCTTGGCACCGCACATATCTGCCCTGCAGGCACATAGAATAATCAACATCTTTTACACCACACATGAAATCATGACCCAGTCATCCATTTCCTTGACAATTGGTAGCAACACCTAACCCAGGTCCTCCCAAGTCGTCTATATCGTCACTCGACCAGTAGTCACAATATACCGACAGTCAGCTCCCTTGCGCTTCCGCTACGCAATCAGACAATTAGGCTATTCACCAGCCTACCAGACCACACAGTCAATCCTTTCATTAGGCCATTTGACATATCGCTATGGCCTACTACAACAGCCCCATCGTCCCTACGCCATTTGACCTCAATCTCATGACCTACCTCCTCAATCGTATCGCCCACAGCCACGAAGTCAGGGAACAAGCGGAGAAACAAGCGGAGAACTCGTGCCAAGCACCTCCCATCAAGCCGTCAACACACCAAATCCACTGCTATAGCTCCAATCGTCCCCAAACTCTCTCTAAGCAGCAACAGGCCACTACGGAGAAAACTGCGGAGAAGGATAAGAGCACGAGCAGCAGCAGTCCTGTTCAAGTCGGCACACTCTCCGTAATCTCACATCAATCCACTCAGCCAGTGCAAGAGAAGTCACTACAGCAGGCAAAAGCGGAGAACACTGCGGAGAAATCAAGCGACAACAAGGCCACCATCAGCAAGAACACGGCTCAGCTCTCCACGATCCCACGTCAGATCGCCACTCAGCAAGCGGAGAACGACACTACAATATGGCCTGCTATCTCTGCATGCCTAGGCAATATCACATTAGTGTGGCACATCACTGCAATGAGCAAACAAGAGAAGGATCTACTGCGACGATCACAGCCAAATTACTATGATAAATTGGACCTCTGCAAGCAAAGGCCACACATATCTCGCTGACGTCACACCGGATGGCTATGCGGTCTATGAGGAAGATGAGGAGGTAAATCAGGAGCATCATGGCCATTAGGAATGCATTCTGATTGGTCAATGGCATAGGCCACGAGGACGTGTCTTTTTTTCTTTCTTTGCGGGCATGTTGTCACGGTACGCCAAGGCCTCCTCCAGAGCCACCACCCATTTGGGCCTAGCGTGGCTTGGCACCGCACATATCTGCCCTGCAGGCACATAGAATAATGAACATCTTTTACACCACACATGAATTCATGACCCAGTCATCCATTTCCTTGACACTTTAGAAGCCTTTGTTACGAGCGTACCCTTGACACACCACTCAGCCCTATGGCTAGCGGGCCTTGGCGGAGGCATCTCCTACTATATCATGCCTCCTTCCCACATACATAGTTCGGTAGCCTTATTATCCTCGTTCTACCTCACCTATACTGATATCGTACCTATGCTGGTCCTGACAGCCTTACTTATATTCTTAATTTTCCGCTATTATAATTATAAATTATTCTTTATAGAGTTCTATAATAATTTAATTTAATATAGATCTAGTAAATTTAGAGTTTAATCTATCTTCTTAATATTATATTATTTTTATTTCTCTTAATATAGTCTAACTACTTTAATATAAATAGAAGTATTATTCTTAATTACTTATATATTCTTATTAGAGTTTCTTTATATAACTTTCTTAATATATATATATAGACGAGTTAATAGAATATAATTCTTATATTATTTACTATTAATTCTATAATCTTTAAATATTAGAAGAGATATATACTTAAAAATCTACTCTACGTTATAGCGTTTTTTAATATCTTTATTATATTTATCTTCTCTACTTTTCTTAAAAAAACGATTATAAATATTAATCTATCGATTCTTATTCTATTATTTCTTAATATTTCTCTTATAAAAGATAGAATTAGCTTACTTTAATAAGGATATATTTAAATATTCCCGAAATTTCTATAAGATATCTTTTTTCGTTTATTTCTTTCTTAAATTCGCGATTTCTTAGTACGATTTTAATCTCTAATTTATATTTTTTAGTAGTAGTACGTACTAGCTAGTAGTACTGTGATTCGATATCTAATTTCATAGAATAAAAAGTCTAGTGTATTTTTATAAATTATATCGGAGTATCGACCATAACCACTATTTTAATAGATCTTCTCTTCTCTATAGAAATATATCGTTATTTATAATTATTATCTTAAATTTTATAATAGTATTTATTACTAGTAATAAAGATAGATTTCTTATCTAACTCGCTAAGAATTTAAATATAAAGATTATCTTATTTATATTCTTTATAATAATTTAGTCTTAACTTTTTTAACTCTATTTTTCGCTTAATTCTCTTTATAATATAATTATTATTAGTCTAATATGTATATTATAGAGTAACTCTATAAAGTATTAAGTCTGATACTAATAACTATAGCTTATCTTCATCTTATTTTCGCTTTTTATTTACCTTTAGAATATCGATATTTTCTTACTAAATAATCTTAAGATAAGAGAGTTATAAATACTTAAGAATAGCTTAAGAAACTTATTTTAAGAGATCTAATCGATTTTCTATTCGAGTAAGAGTCTTAAATCTATTTACGTTATATAGATATATTAAAATATTATAAAAATTCTTTTTCTTAACTTTATTAATTACTTTTTATATAATATTAGCTATTATATAAGCTTTTATATCTATTTTTCGCTTAATAATATTAAATTCTTTAAGATAGAGTAGTCTATATATAGCTATAGCTACTCTAAAAGTATAACTAGTTTTATTACTATATAAAGCTATAGAATAATAATATAAGATAGATATTATAAAGTAAATAATGAAAATAAACAGCTATTTGCGGGCAAAACGGCCGCCAAGACGCTAAAAATTTAGCGTCGTAGCTTACTTCTCGAATGTACGAGTACGTGCCGCAGCCAGGAAACATTCACCTTCTTGGACAGGCACGGATCAGCACGTCTATGTAAAGATGGAATTAATTTGAATTATGGCAAGCAGACATTCGACGTTCTAAGGGTATAGTCGTGTTAAACAACCATGACTCCAACGCTGTCCCTTTCTATAATATCCCCAATGAATACGCCTCATAGCCCCCACTCGAGAAGCCAATCCGGTCTCACGTCCGGCGCAGGCTGCGTGACCTCGCATTTGTTCTTAGTAGTCAAGTATGCTCCAGCGTTGCTGTATTGTAGGTAGCGACCGTATTTAATAGTCTGCTTGATGACGTCTTCTGAGATGCCCGCGGGATCCTGCGGGATCCATATGACGGGCGCTGGCTCTCTGGTCACTGGATCCTGAAAGGCAGCTTTGAGCTCCGCATCTCGCTCATCAGGGGACAAGTCCGTCAATTCATCAGGGTAGCCGGCAAGTGCTGCTGCTAGCTGGTCAGCAACTTCCTGTCGCCTCGACCTGACGATCGGCTCGGCGACATAAGCATGCATCTCTGTGACCCTTGCTGCAGTCTCCTTTTTCAACCTTGACAGTGCTTTCCTCGCGTTGGCTGCTGTTGCAGACATGCTTTTCATTTGGACACGACTCGCTCTCTTCTTCGTCGGATCGTCCACACTGCCGTCTAGTGTACCTACTAGATTCAATTCCGATAATTCAATACCGTCGCTATCACCGCTTTCCTGACGCGAGGGTTCGTTGTCATCATGTATGAGAAATCGCTCTCTTTCGGCGTCGACAGCCGAATCTTCCAGAGCGACTGGTAGGAATTCGTAAAGAGGCCGCAGGTGCTGTTCCATTAAAAAGTGAAATACAGCGGTCAAGACCAAGACGACTATCATGATGATGGCTTGAGACGAACATGCGTATTTGTTCTGCGTGTCTCTGACCAACAAGAACAAGCCGATGAGGGCAATCTCCAGTACATAGATACCGGTGAACAGCTGCGAAACCGCATTGTTGAAAAGTAACCCATGCGTATCAACTTTGTTCCTTTGAACGTAGTAGTAGTTGTGTCGGTAAGCCACCCAGAATAGCGAGAACGTGATTGACACGAAGACGAGCATTAGAGGAGATATAATGCAGTATATCAAGCCTGTAAGGTTTGTCAGCTCACCATATTGATGACGTCTGATCCAGAATGAAATTTGAACGGGTAGTTATCTCGAGGACATACCAATGACGGCAAAGTTCGTAGTCAGCGAGTACACGTTACCCCACATCTGTGTTCAGGTTAGCGGCGGAGATTCGAGAGCGTTTTGAGGCTCGGACCCTACCTGATGTGGGATGGTCGTTTGGAGCCACGCTTCCTCCCGGGGAGTCTGCGTGAACCACGGCCAGATAACCGTGATGTACAGGATGCGCAAGTACTGGAACAGAACACTCCCGCTGAAGCCTAGGGATTGAACGATAAGGTAATTGAAAAAGTAATTTGCCGATTTGGGAAGGTCGTTGGCCAGAATTGTGGGAATGTTACGGGGATCCTTGACGATCTGGGGAATGACATTGGCGATGCCGGAAGAGATTGCGGTGACTAGCACAAGCTCGATGAAGAGGAAGGTGAAATAGAAGTCTTGCGTGACAACCTCACGCTTACTACGCGTAGGTGTGCCTACCAAAACTGCCAATTTTCGTAACAATGCCGGTACGACAAGTTGAACCAACAAAGCAAGTAGGATAGACGTAAGAGGGCCTAGCGCAAGTTAGCTACCTGGTATTGAGCGGGCTTGGACCGCGAGGGCTAGTGCAAAAAGGGTTCTCGCTTCGTCCAAACCTTTGGCGGTGGGTATCTCTTGAGATTGAACGATTTTACACTCAATCCTGGATCGACTAGATGAGCCGACCCATGAGGAAAATGTGGATCCTGGATTGAGATGAAAAAAAGCCCCTTTAACGAGGATATCCACCGCGAAAGACATGAATGCAACGGTAACAAGCTGTTACGCCAGTCCCTGGGGTTCAGTTGCTGAGCGACTTACCTGATATCAGACTTATAACCCAGGATGGCCATGATCGGAGCCAGTAGAGCCAGGAAACGGTAGACCGGAGAGTATCAAGCTGAGATATGGACGCAAGGACAGTGGTCGGTATACCCCACAGAAACAACATTGCTGCAAATAAGACGAGGGCAATGCCAGTCCTGACGAAACGTCCAAGAGAAGTCACGCCCATATTAGGCCAAATGATTTCGTGTGGGGCGACTTCAAGGAAACGAGGAGACATCCGACCGGCCCTGTTGTGACTGACCAGACTGCAAGCCATATGTGCAGACATTTGTCTGTCGAACTGTATGAACGCAGAGTTCTGTTTCTTGAATCGCTCCTCGTCATCCAGCTTCAGCAGGAGTTCTTCGATTAGAACAGTCAAGCGAGCAATCTCTGCGCGCAGCCAGGCAATCTTCGGTACCACCAACTTCTCGCCAGAGGCCCAGATCTGAAATGACGAGGCGGGCTTCCAATTACCGTCTTTCGCCCGGATAAGAGAGATTTTGGAGGCAGTCGAAGGCTTCAAGTACTTGCGCCATAGCTGTGCTTTCTCGTGGCAATCCGTCTCGTAGGCGGTGGAGATACTTTGCCCGTCATGCTCACTGTGTGCTTCATTTCCGTCATCAGGCGCGAGCGATTCTTGGGAAGTGTTTTCTGCAGTTCTCTTCGAAGCCGTAACATCTCCACTCTTTCGATGCTTCTTGTTGACATGTCGTAGAATTTTCAGCTCTTCTTTCTCCAGAGCGTGACGAAGACTTCGACGACGAGCTACCAAGGTTCTCAGAGACCCGTAGTCTCGGTTAACCCAGGCAGTCAGCCTGCTATGGTCGTCGTTGTCCACAAAGACATCGTAGAGTGCTTCCAATGCCTCTTTGCTTCGATACTCGTTTGGTATGTTTGTGATGAGAACCGTTCTGGCTGAGGCCTTGAGTCTGTGCTCCGGAGATGTGAGGAATCGCTGCCGGACGTCGATGAAATTCAGCTTTTCACGGTAGATTCGATAAAGTGTCCAGGAGATGGCCAGAGCTGCGCAGACAAGGTGTGCCCAGTATCTATTTGTCTGGGATGGAGCAACGTTCTGCCAGGACAGTGTGTCAAGGCCAGTGATGTTGGCTGCCACGGACTCTCCACCCACGTCGAAGATACCGTTGTCTTTCCCTCCGTGGTAGTTGATCGGGAGCAGTACCGTCACAATTATGACCATCAACGGCACAAATATGATGATCATCGCCCGGAGCAGTCGAATAAAGAAGTAGCCATCCAATCCGCACTTCGCCTTGAGCTCTTCGTCCCCAATGTTGAAGATCCTGCGGATCCACTTGATCGGATTCGCGGGTACGGCTTCTACTCGTAGTCTGCCTTGTACGAGATATGTCTTTGGTTGACTGCAAGCGCCTCAGCCAGGGTGGCTCGGGACAACGGGAATGATACTCACTATATCCTCCGCCCTATGGCCGAACTCTTGAGCAAGAAGAATGCCGAAATTTCGAATGCGAAGAGACCCAGACTGACTGCAATATTGAGCACAAAAGCCTTGACTGCGATCCCCTGCTTATTCTGGCCCACTCCTGCTTGGCCGCTGAGGAAGTCCAAGAAAGGTTCATCGCCGCTCGAATTGCTGCTATTGGCCATGATTATTGTTGTCCCTTGTCCCTTAGGGAAATTTACCGCCGCATGAACGGCATTCACAGTCGCAATGGCAGACGCTCGACATGCAAGCCCTACGCGACAATACGTCCGATGTCTTAAGAATGAGTGATAAATTGTTACCTTAGGAATTACTGAGCTAAGAAATCAAGCAGGTTTGAGCTAAATCAAGGCTTAGCGCGCGTTTAATTGACGTCACTTTCGGTCTCGCTGCATTGTTGGCAGGTGATCATCCTAGTCCTTATAGGGTTAGTCATTTGACATGCAGGAGTTTACATAAAGTAAGGTAGCCAAAACACAGAAACACAATACAAGCACTCTACTATCTCACTTAATTGACCCTATTTCTACATCGCTACTATAGCGTCCAAAAGTTTAGCACTTCGCTTAATAGCGCCGGGAGAACTCATTAGGTAAAGTAAGGTAATCAATCTATTCCCGGGCGCGCTTTATCGATCTCGTACTAAAACATATCTTAATTTGTGGAGAAGGAAGCTAGTTGAGCGACGTGTATAAGTCGTGATAGAAGTATAGAATTCATTCGCAGCATAGTTGAACCCGGCTTGAAGGGGCAGGGTAAAGACAATCGCAATACTCGCTCAATTATATCCTTCCCTGTCGTGTTACCTCTCTTGCGCGCTTCAAAGCACTTGGTCTGGATTCATACCCAAGTCAGATGGTTCTCAATCCTTCACCTCTTTTACCAGAAGCTTCAAATGGCCTTTCATTCTAGGCACCGTGACATCTTTCCACTCCATATCCTCGGGCGTAGTCTGATATAATTCGAGATCGAATCTGCGAAACAGGTGCGCAAGCGTGAGGTAGAGCTCAGCGTATGCCAGACTATTGATGTCAGTTGCTGAATCTTTGCCAACTCCATCAGAGGATCTTTCGAAACAGGAGGTACAACAGGACGAAGATTTGGGTTACTGGCAACGAGAGAAACAACATACTTCATTCCTGGGCACATTCTTGAGCCGCGCGAGAAACTCAGAAGATTCCTTTCCATTTCAGTGGCATCGTCTTGCAACCATCGCTCAGGACGAAAGACCATGGGGTCCTCGAAGATGTCCGGGTCGGTGTGGTGAACATGGCTACAGCAAGATACGAGAGTCTGGGTGTGAATGTTGATTAGTCGAAGCAATCAACTGCAACTCACAGGATCTTTAGGAGGCCTCTTACTCCTGGTGGTATCTTCCGCCCGCAGAAGACAGCGCCTGTTGGAGGGACTACACGTGGGAGATGGCCAGGAGCACCGGAGGATGAGCGTAGGGATTCTTTGATGATGCCGCGCTGTTGTCAAGTCAGCTACCTAAAAGCGTAGGACTAAAACGAAGGATTGCACCAAATAAGGTAACTTCTCCAGGGCCGCCCAGTCAAGCAGACTGTCCTTGTCGGGCATTGCCTCCCTCAGCTCGGCTTTGAGGCTCGCCAATATGGAGGGATTGGTCAGGGTGCTGTATGTTGCCACTATGAGATTGTGTGCTGTGGTATCCGTGCCTGCGATAAGCAAAAACACCGCGTCTGCGGAGAGCTCATCAAGCGAAGGGGTGAACTGGCCCTTTTCGAGGTTGGGATTCAGCATGGTATCGAAGACCGTCGGAAGCCGATCGACGGCAGAGCGTTTCTTGAGTTCTAAAATACGATCGCGGGAGGTCTAGGCAATGTTAGCTTAGCAAGGAGTGACTTAGAGGATACGCGCGTACGTTCATGACCCATTTCATCTGCGCCAAAGGTTCAAAGAACCTATCGACTAGCTTTTGTGGGAGCAAATCTATTGCGTCGAACAAGGATCTAAACATTTTGGGAAAGTAAAGAACCCACTGAACGTCCTTTATCGACGCATCGGTCGCTCTCACAAGTGGAAAGTCAAAGTCCGGCGCATCGAGAGCGCCCAAAGGCCTTTGGAAAGAGAAATTCATGTTTGTGTCCGCTGCAAGGCATTTGAATCCCAAACTCATGTTCACGGGTCTGGCTTCACGTGCTGCCCTCTCCAAGATCGTTAGGAATTTAGTCGTGAACTTTTGGATCAGAGGCTCTGCGCGACGAATCGCTTCTTGAGAGAAGTACGGGTTCATCATGTTCTTGCGCGCCATTGCCTCTTTGGTTTCTAGAATCTGAAAGATAGAGTGATCGGCAGGTGGGAAAGATTGGTAGAAACCGGTTTCTTTGTTAAATTTTGTGCCAGGTTTGTAAATTCTGACGCTGTTAGTTGTGGCATGGAACATGGTAGTTGAGTGATTTACTGATTGTATGCGTCCATGTCATGGATGTTAAGTTGGTTGGGCCAAACCCGTACGATTGGTCCTATGAACCATTAGAAGGTTGGCGGGCGTGCAGGGGGGGTTGGTTGCAACCATATTTTCCGTGCAGCTCTGGCAGCTTCTTGACATATGAAGTATCAGATCTCAAGTCAAAGAAGCCGCCATAAAACCTGGTGAGAGCTGCAAGTGTAGGGCCAGGGAAGTGCGCAAGTGGATGTAGAGTCAAGCGGTAGAGACATTTTGATATGAAGAAAGCAAGGAACCCAATCAAGAGCCAACCAAGTCCTGAAGCGGGGAGAAAGTCGAGTACGGCCATAACTATGGATCACGCCGACGAAGCTGAAGACGAGTGGGCCAGAAAAATCAGGATTGAAGTTGATTAAATTATGGCAGGTGAAGAAGTAGTCGACCATTCGACCATTGCGGGGAAGAATTGACTGGCCATTTTAGTGAGTAGCTACTAACTCTGACAAAGGTCCCATGATTGGCTAGATGGTGTATTAGTATGCATCAGGATTCACGCCGCTTGAAGAGCCCGACAGCGCGGGGGTCCTCGAGCTCAGACTCTCGGCCAGCCCCTCGCAAGGACATCTCAGGCGTTGTGTCTTTGTGTCAAACCCCATTGTCGAGGACAGAGTCTTCGGACCACATGATACTGTAGTTACCACAAATTGACGAACATCGATACAGCAAAACTGAAGCATACATGTACATACCAACAACATATAGAGGGGCCGAAGGCCGATCGCGCGGCCCAGCCCTATGAAAACAAAACATTTATGAATTGCAAATTAAATAAGAATGCTTGGCAAAGCTGATTCAGCTCCGCCTCCGACTTTTTGTTAGCGCTATTTATAGAAAATTGTAGAGAACGTACTTGCCACTCTTGTACCAGCCCACTCCGACTTATCAGTATACTTATACTCTAAAATAATTAGGTCAGGGAGAAGGTTATAAAGAAGATGAAGGATTTTAATTAATATTACGTAGTATTTCATTGTAATTACTCTGTTATCTCTAAAGTCAAATGCTTTAAATCTCGTTTATATATCTCAATTTCGTCGTTAAATATGTAGTCTGCAGTGCTCTACTTGAAATACTTTATCGTAAATCTATCACAGTCACTAACATCGATTATATACTTCAGAAACGGCTTTAGGTCGCCAATGAAATTCGAGTAAGAGTTGGGTACGCTGGCGTATAGAGGAATCCTTTCTAAATAGTGGCATCGCGTCCGAAGCAAGGGCTGGCGATGTGGCTATTATACGCCTAAGTTAGAGGTAAAATACTAGGAAAAGCGTGTATACCCACTAGCTTCGGTATCACGAATATTCAACTGAGGTAGTAGACGACAGTGGCTATTGCAAGAGTGGCAAGTATATTCTCTACAATTTTCTATGAATAACGCTAATAAAAAGTCGGAGGCGGAGCTAAATCAGCTTTACCAAGCATTCTTATTTAATTTGCAATTCATAAATACTCGTACGCTAAAGGAAATACGTGGGGCGCTCAGTCTTGGCAGTTGTGGCACTCAAAGACTCGCACTGCACACGGCACGTTATACTCGAACGCTTTAAAAGCCGACAATAACATTAGAGAGGACCCCAAAAATGGCCAGGTTGCTCTTATTGAGAACTCTACGCGAGCTGTCAAAGATATAATGAGTACAAAGGTGCGCACCCAACATTCACGGAGTGTTTTCTCACTGCGCAGCCTTGTGCTATCTTTTGACTTCCTACCGACGTGCACACGCTTTCGTGCACACACCCATTCGATAACAGACAGACGTCGGTTCGTGGACCATTGGACCATAGCTATGAGGATCGTTTGGCTGCTGTCAGAGAGTACGGAAGGTCGTAGGCAGGTCCTGGAGGCGTCTCCCGGTCTTGGCATTGTTTCAAGATGTTTGGCTGGCTGGACGCCAGGTGCTCCATCCGTCTTTCATTTCGCTACTGGCACTGTCGCCCCATACGTCTAAGCCAAGAAATCTGGCAGTATTGGCAAGCTTTGTTGCAACCGGCGGATTCAGAACGTTTCTGTCTTGGAGACCGCGGAAATGACTTCACGATTACGGCCTGAGCAAGTTCAACGCTGCGTTTGATGTCACCGCCAATATTTACACCTAGGGAATGTTACTTCATGTGCGGACAAGCCTCCGACTACTGCTCGTTGCTGGTTTCCAGCTTGAGCGCGGATGTGCCGAAGCGATGGCAAAAAAGACGTTTTCTGTCTTTACGCCTTCTCCGTTATAAAGGTTACCGGTTCGTGAAAATGTTGAGATGATGATGCATGAACAGTAGCTGGAGCGAGATCGTCAGGAGACTGTTGGTCGGAAGGCACGCTTTTGGTGAGAGCGATTCTATTGTATGCTCCCTGACGAGCGCTTTGAAGGTCGTCTTTGGCCGCTGCTGCTGCGGGGTAAGAGACTGTTCGTCCTGTCTCTGAGATATATCAGCTTTGTCAATCGCTGGCGGACCCATCTGAGCAAATTTGTACGGCGAAAGCAAAGTACACCGCTTCATGAACCCCCATAGACCCATGCTCAAAGTTTCTTGCCACAGACTTGAACACGTCTGATCTCAAACATATCGATCATTGCAGCTATTTTGACCGAGGTTCCGCTGATCTCCTTGTTCTCAGCTCTGTACTTTCAAGGATCGACGGAGTATAGGTCCGGCGCCACGACATTCAGGACTTCTCCTTCTTTCAGTAAGCGCGACATCCGTCCTGGCGCTCTTTTTCCTCTCAGCGAAAGTCGGCCTCTTTTCCATCAACATGAATCTGTTTCGGACCCTTTGCTAGAAGCGTTTCAAAAGCTGGGACAAGAGAGCCTCTGGAGATAGGCTCGATCCACAACAAAAAGGGTCGCTTAGCAAAGTAGATGTCTGAAACAAATGCTCTCCATGATTGTATGTACGTCCCTGACAATGAGCATCGTTGCAATCCCAATCTGTAAAAGATGAGCTGGGAGTTTTATAGTCGAAAGCTTGCCACGAAGATCGATCTGCTTGTCGTCACATACGTCGAAGTTGCGAAATCTCCCACTGCGATAGCGCGATTGATTTCTTGCATGACCTTGAACGAGCTTGAGTAGAGGGTAAATGAGATTGGTATGAAGTCCCTTTTCTCACCGCTACAAAGCTGCTTGCAAAAGATGCCACCACTACGAATGCAGCTGCAGCAGAGATGCTACCGCTCCATAGACGGTACTAAAACAAAGATACGTGCAAAGCAGATTCTCATACGCGATCAAGCCGCCTATGAGAATATTTAGCTATTAATTCGCGTAGGAAAGGAAGACTAAAAGGTGAGCGGGCTAAGATCGAGTGCGACATACAAAGGGAAGTACCAAACGCGCGCAGTCGTCAAAAGGAGCAAGGACCGTGGGTTTTCCCCGGCTTGCGAACCCAAGTGCCACCATAGCATCCCATCACATTCCGACCCGCAAACTAGACACTCGCCATGATTCCTGGTCGAATGCTCTCCAACTTCGCCGAAACTTCATCCCACACCCTCTGCTGCATCTCGGGCTCATCCAACACCATCGGAGCCGGCCTGTTCTCCGCATCAGCAAATCCCTCGCAGCAATGCCGTCGAGGAAGGAAGACCCACTGGGCAACGTGACAGTCGCTAAGGTACGCCCCTTGGGTCTCTTCCCCCGCCGTCGCAGCACTCACGAGTGCTCGACTCCCATATTCCGTCGAGCGCGCCAGGAAGAATTTCAGAACCTCCAGGAAGAAGGGCCCGTCCCGCGATAGTGAAGAATGGCACATCCCTGGGTTTAGGTAGTTGACGATGACGTCGGATTTACCGGTCTTGTTGAGACGGGCGGCGAGTTCGCGGGCGCAGTAGACTTGGAGAAGCTTGGAGACTTGGTATCTGGTGACGGTTTCAGGAGCCGCGAGTGATTATTTGGACGAAAGAAGGTATGAGATTTTGGTCACTTACCTGTCTCCCATGTCCGTCGTGTTCTTGTCATTAAGCGTCTTTAGGAGATCTGGATTCTTCCTCTCTTCGAACTTCGCCATCATATGCACCTCTGACGAAACAACCGTAAGATGCGGCTGCACATTGAACTTCGCCGCCGTCTCTCTCAGTTTCGGCAGAATCAGCAGACCCAACAGGAAAGTACTGATGACGTTGACCGTAACCATGCTCTCATTGTCTTCCGCCATCGCAAACGTGGAGGGCGCGATCCCCGCATTTCCCACTACAACATCCAGTCGCTGCAACCCGTGCGCACGCTGCACAGACTGCTTGACGGATTCATAGCTGCAAAGGTCGAGTCGCCATGCTTCCACGACGCCCGAGCGCCCCGTGGATTCTTCTATGGACTTCTTGGCTCCTTCGCCCTTCTCGAGGCTCCGGACGCCAAGGATGACTTTGGACGCGTTGAGACGTGTGAAGTGTCGAGCGGCTTCGAGGCCGAGGCCGGTGTTAGCGCCAGTGACGATGATGGTTTGGTCCGTGAGGTCCTGCTTGGGGTAGGGGAGGGCGACGAAGATTTGTGAATAGACGAAATTGAGAAAGGAGGACATGGCGGTAGGCGTTACCGTTGAAAGCGAAGGTGTCTTTAGATCGTAGAGACGCCGACTTGGACGCCTTCAGCAGGGACCTCGCATTTATATCGAAAAAGGCACGGGCTTTACGCGAGGACATTGAGCGTGCAAAGTCCGTTCTAAAGCCTCATAAGTCCGCCATTCCTATGCTAGCCTTTACAAGCACCTCTTAGAACATTTCGGACCACGAGCAGATACGAGCTACCCGTACGGCAGAGAAGTCTATCTTTCTTGCTAGGCTGTGAAATGGCAGGCAGATGAGATGGCGCCGAATAAGTTTCTCCCGAGACCCAAAGATGCTAAAGGGAGGCTTCCACGGCAGTGGTGATGGAAAAGTAGTACCTACCCGCATCTCGTGTATCCTTGCACGGGACTGAAGGCTTCCGAGTCACTTGCCGTTGTCATCGAGGGAGCATGTCTTCCTGTTTGAGGTGACAAGTGCTTCCTCGTTCTCCCCCAGGTAACCCCTGAAGAACCCCCTGTATTTAGAACACTATAGCGCCGGAAGACGGCGAGAGTCATTGCGGGGCTGGTGCTAGGCAAACGGCCCCCGTAATAATTAGCCCTCAGCCTCTCCCACGGCGTTGGCACCAGGGACTTATTCCTGCCACTTTTTGCCCGGTAGCTCCCGTGATGGAGTGGCAATTAGCACCGCCCTAGTCATGGCCCAGCAACGGGTTGACTGGGTGCACCCCGAAGCCTTTTTTGTTTACAACTCCGACGGTGGGCTACGCGGGGACAGGTTCTGTAGGAGCACCGGGAGGCTCCGACTCAGCTGAGAATCATTCCGACACGGGCTCTTCAAAAGGGTAGATTTCTCTACTGTTCAAAAGAGGTCAAAGACATGAGTAGGTATGTACTATTGTGTATGAAGATCATGGCACCACGTGATAAGATATCGAGACCTCGCTCGCGTTGAACAGAAATTGAAGCTTAGGTGGATGTACAGTGTGTTCCCGTATCTAAAGCGAGAGAAGGTTCACGAAGTAGCTAGATAGATAATATGCCATCTCACATGCGCAAAGGAACCGGTGGAAGAGTCCGCTCTGCCGCTCCTCCGTTCTATCAACACATGTCGTAGTCGATACTCAGGCCCTAAAAAGGCCTGGGACCGCAAGTCTTTCGTTGTGTCCAAAGGGATCAGGCCGCGGTCGATGAGGTAAACCAGCTGAACAACAAATTTTCCGGAGCAGAACGCCGAGGAAGACAGGTCAAAGGAAAAGCCTGATTAGTTCACTAACCGGACAAGTCTTCTAGTGAGGAATCTCCAGATAGGTAAGACTTGGCTCGATTGGCTACATCTAGATCCAAGCGATAAGGACTTGAAAAGAAGATTGACGCACAGCAATAACACACTCATCGAGATAGACGAGAGGAACAATTACCTGAGGGTTTGGATCATCATCGAGCACGCTCGTCTTTTCTGGCAGCTTTCAGAATTCAAACAATGAACATGTACCTCCAAAGCGTCTCGTACGGATCGGCATCCCCAGCTCCGAACATTCCTCCACACATGACACCGTTCAAACAACAATCACCGATGATGTACCAAGTCTGTCGCCCGGGCCAAAGCCAGCCGGTTTGTCGTATGACGAAGAGCACGCCTGTGCCGGCCAGCGAAACAATACAACCCCCAGGCTGCGCAACAGCAGGCAGGAGGCCAACACGGCCGAAGTTTGTAATAAAAGAGCTGACGATCTTGCACCACACTACGAACGGCGGCGCTGAACGCATACAGCTTAGACATCGTTTCAACGTGGCCTCCTGCCAGCTGGGTGCCATAGTGGATTCGTGATAGGCAGCGGGAAAAAGAGACGGCTCCAGAATAGGGTTGTTTTCGTACTGAAGCCACAGGTCTGCGAGCTCTTTCGTGGCTTCGGGATCGCGTATCCATTCGCGTGGTGCCGACGCGGCGAAATCGGCGCTTATTGTTTGTACGAGACGGGTGAGCGCACCTTGCCCTGGTGGATGTCGAGTCACTTCGTGCTGATGTTGGTCGTAGAAAGCCTTGATCGGCAAGATCCGTTGACGAGATTGCTCACTGCAAGCAAGCACTGAAACCGCAAGCGCCCATGGGTGACAAGAAGGCGTAAGCTTTGCCGGACATTCTTTCGCAATCGAGCAACTGCTTTAACGTACGGAGGAAAGGACAAAGTCGAAGCGAGGCGACGAGTGGAAGAGACGGCGACTATTCCAGAGGTGGAATGAAAAAATCTGGAGAGCTTGACGGCCATTGCGAAGGTTGTCAGAAGGAGATACCGCGGTGATGCATACTGGTAATGGCTCTTGCACGTCCGGGATATCGAGGTGCTCCGCCTATGAAAGAAGCACGATCTGGAAGTTTGGATACAGGGGATGGGTCATGACCAAGGCACGACAGTAGCGCTGTTGCAATTAGCAACGTCTATACCTGACGCAGCAGCCATTGAAGAGCCGAAGTCGTGCTTGACAGAAGCTCCGAAGATGTTGCAACGCAAGGACATTCAAGCTACAACGGGTAACTCTGTGAAACACTTCGTACACTTCGTTGATTATGCATGTATTGGTCTTCAAGGTCCGTTGCTCACCTCACTGGACCCAAGACAAACCCCATGTCTTCTCTCCCCTCCTGAAGGGCACCACCTGCACACTCTGATCGTCATTCTGCAGCACATCCATGATCCGGTCCTCTCCCCTTCTCAATTCGATCTCCCCTCTTGGCTCACTCTCGACCTTGTAGAATCTTCTCCCGAAGTCGCCCATGAAGCCCTTCAGCCTTTCCACGGTGACGTCCTCGTCCTTCAAGACACCCCATTCAACGCCCTTCTCGAGCGCATCGACTACCGACTGCGTCGTGTAAGGCTGGGTGAATACCCCTGCAGCAATCTTATCCCCACCCTTCTTTGCAGCAATTGGGTGAGGTGCGCTGTCAGAGCCGAAGAAAAACTTGGGGTTTCCAGAAATGGCCGCTCTCAGCAGCGCCGCGCGGTCGCTCGGGAGCTTAGCGACTGGCTTTGTTCGTGAAATCGCAGTCAGCATACCCTCTTTGCGACCGTATGGGAGTAGAGGAAATGGTCGGAAGAGCGAAGAGCAGGTCCCAAATAGGCGCCGAACCCTTGGAACACGTCTCACACCCTCAAAATGGCCGCAACTGGAAGAATGTATAAGGGAAGAGATACTCACTTTGCAATTGCAGTGGACGTCATTCTGCCAATCATCTACGATCAAAGAGAGGTGGTGCGATGTGATGCTCGCCGCTACTGTTTTGCCGCAAGCTGCTACGGCGGAGACGGCGGCGGCGGTGCTCAGATGTTCGAGGACAATGCGGAGACGAGGGAAGCGCGTGTGGTAATCGGAGAGGATGGGAAGGAAAGCTGACTCGGCTGACATGACTGTTACGTCTCCGACTGAGGGGCACTCGCCATCTAGAATGTCAAGCGTCTCCGGTCAGCTCGATTCCCCAGAGCCGTTAAGATGGGTAAGCTTGGGGCATACGAACGAAGATTTAGGATCATATCCTGCCTATGAGGGATATCTCTCGAGTCAGCATACTATTCTTCGGCTCATTATCGAGGTTCATTAGGTTGGGTCAGCCCTGTACGAGAGCTGTAGGATCCGACGAAAGATCGCAGAGGGGGGTTTTTCTGGGAGCGAAAGCTAGTCACCTTTCCATTTCGGCCAGTACAGGGTAGAAGGCGGCGTAATCTGTGACACCTTGGGAAGATCCAGTTGTGACATTTGCTGGATACATTTTTACGCCAACGATGCCTGCACGTTTGGCTTCGTAGATAGTCGCAGGGGTTATTGTGGAGTTAAGGTAGCTTCATGTTCTCAGGATCAGCGCAATGCCTCATGGGCAGTGATAGGGCTGTCAGATCAACGGAGAGACCAACTCATGGCGTTTGGCAACAACAAGAAGGTCAAAGGTATAGCTTACAGAGACATTAGGAACCTGACATTAGGTTCCATAGCTTGCAGGCGGTTTTGGTAGTCGAGACATTGCTGAACGTTGGTTATGGGAGGGTTGAGGTTGGGCATTACCTATTGTTGACGGTGCCGCAGTTAGAATACCCAACTGGCCAAGTGAGAGATAGTATGATCGGTCTGAAGAGCAACAAGCACGGCCATGACACGTCTTGAGACCCCACAAGTCGTAGCAAGTGAGTGGTCTCAGAAGAATCCAGGATACTCACGTAAACAAGGTCAATTCCGCCTCTTCTGATGGTTGGAACCACGAGTTCCATCATGGGCCCATCTCTGAGGTGGACTTTGGAAAAAAGTATCAGTCATCGACCTCCAACATCTTTCCGTGCTTGAGATCCGACACACCATGGAAGTCGGCACCTGCAGGCAGCCGCAGGGAAGACTGGACTTCCGAGAGCAGCATCGCTGTTTACCAACGAATGAGAGGTGTTGAATGGTTGTAACGGGTCTTGAAACTAAAGCATTTGAGAGATCGACTTTAATGATCAAAACGTATATTGCCCCAACACTATCATGTCGACAGAAGATCAGAGAACCTGCGTGGATGTTTCACATTTGAAGATGTTGCTGACGACCCACTGGCGGAACGACGGTGCATTGATGTGCCTTAGTCTTCGAATATTAGAAGTTGGGGCTAATTACTAATTCATACCCCGAAACTATGAATCCTTACCGAATCATACCCCTAGTGGTATGATTCAGTAATTTGCCATTACTTGGGGTATGATTCGGTAATTTGCCATTCATGGTAAAAATCGCAAAGGAGAGACCTGGGCCATCCGACCATAGAAAAAAGGGAATATCTCCGACCGTATTCAATGGGTAATCTACCAGCTTAAATACATCAGACGAAAGCCGAGTGGGGTAAATTTGGCCCCCCCAGCCTGTCTACACCCAGTCTGTGACTCTCATATACACTCTTTACTCCCAATAGCCTACATAGGCATAAACACCTAGATTACACTCTTGATGGGCAGTATAGACATAAAGTAGGTACCTAGCTACATCTACAAGTAGCACTACTCGTTTCCACCCCCATTTGCACGTTACCCCCATTTGCACGCTCTTAAATCCGATAAATCCGACATAGATAGCTACCACTACCATGGCTACCACTACCACTCATTCAAATACCCTACCACCATAGTCTACCATAATAGCCAATGCTACGGTACCATAGTCGTCATCTGTAGGCCTGGCATCATAGGTGTCATCTCGGACCAGCTATTTTTGAAGACATGAAGAGAGGTAGAAGTCCTGTCAAGAAAAAGGCTACTACACCTCCCACACCAGGCCCACTAATATCACTAAATCTCGCTCCACCACAGCAACAACAGCGAGATAGACGAGAAGCTACTCCGCCACAGTGGCGGGCTCTACCGGCTTCATCGGAGGCTTCATCAGAGGCTTTACCGCAGTAAGGTGGAAAAGATGAAAGAGATAAAAGAGGTAAGAAGATAGTAGAAGAGGAGGTAGTAGAAGAGGAGGTAGAGGAAGAGGTAGAGGAAGAGGAAGAGGTAGTGGAAGAGGTAGTGGAAGAGGTAGTGGAAGAGGTAGTGGAAGAGGTAGTAACGGTTTTTTCAAGACACGGTAAGCCGATAAGGCCTAAAAAACGGTGATTTGGGTTCTCCGATCTTAAGCCTAGATAGAAATAAAAGACCATCATTATTATGCTAGTTTGTTATATAAATTTGGTGAAAGGTAGGCATTTTGGTGTTGCGTCGGATTTATCGGTTTTAAGAGCGTGCAAATGGGGGTAACGTGCAAATGGGGGTGGAAACGAGTATGGCAAGTTTGATAAATTACCAAATCATACCCCAAATTTTGGTGTAGGGGTATGATTCAGTAATTGGGGGTATGATTCGGTAATTAGCCCTTAGGGTTGCAGTGTGCCCAAAACCTCGAACGGGACTAGTGGATTTCCTAAAGTTTTGCGTAATTCAACGGTTGCGGTGTGCCCAAAACCTCAAATGGGACTAGTGGATTTCCTAAAGATTTGCGTAATTCAACGGTTGCGGTGTGCCCAAAACCTCAAATGGGACTAGTGGCTTTTCTAAAATTTTGCGTACCAGGTAATGAGAAGTGAATTCCGGAGTTGGGCGTGGAGGACAGTTTCCATCGGTTGATAGGCCGCTTGGTGAGCATTTACGTGCCGGTTCCGCTTCTTACTGCTCTATCCAGTATCGCTTTTTTCGGGGGGGGGAAGGGGGGTTGATGAGGGTCAGCTCGACGTAGCCGTTGCTTGAGAGAGCCGTTGAAGATATTAGAGATTAGAGTATTGGAGTTAGGGGATTAGAATTAGGGAGGTAAGAATTCGTCAGGGATACATGTATATAAAGCGCGCCTTACGTAAAGTACTCCAGATTATGGCATATGCTTAGTACATGCTCAGCTTTTATTCTTGATAAGGTCGATATGCCTATACGAAATGTATCCGTAGTATACCCCTAATGAGTCGCGTATACCCAACCCCCACTGAACACTTTTTTACCCCTGCCGAGCTGTAAGCCTGTCCATAGCTGAGATATACGTCGCATAACATGGATAACTCGGAGGAGTGAGACCTTTAACGTGTACATTGATCTCAGGAAGGACGGTGCTTACCAGTTGATGCAGTCACGTGTGTCGCTGCTTACATTATAGATCGATTGTCATGATGCATTCGTAGTAACATCGGATAGCCTTGGCAAAGTCCTTACTAATGTGATCCTATAAATCCTCATTCCCTACCATGCCACCTCGTCAGCTTTGGAGCTGACCACGCGATATTGTGGTTATACCAATATGCATCCGAACTTACATCATTCTTAGCATCGACGGCAAGGACTTCCCTCAGTGCTTCATCGTCCCGTCGACCGTCCTTATGAACTCTGCTAGGCATCCTAAGAGCTCCTTAGACCTGTCTCGGCTGAGCACAGTCAACACTCTTTTGCCTTTCGCCAGGTAGAGCTTGTTCGGCTGCTGGAACCTTTCAAATGCTTCCTTCTGCTCCTCCGGAGGTGATATATTTAATCTGAGTCAGGAGTAATCATCATGACAGGCGTAACGTCGACCATCTGGAGCAGCTCCGTGGGATGCCACATTGCCAGCTTGTGATGTATCAGCAGCGTGATGCGATTGCGAAAGTTTGGCGCGCCTCGGTCGATGACTGCGTTCATGGAACCATACACTTCAGCTCCTCCTGACCCTCCCGAGCCGGGCATCCCAAAAGGGGTTTCTCCCTTGCTGTTGAATGGTGGCAGTATGAACGCTTTGTTACCTCGCAGTTGAATTGCCTTTGGTGCAGGGTGATGAGTCTTGACGTCTGACGGACCTCAACTTGAGAGATTACTGGCCTTCTATCTCTCAGCTTGAAAAGTTGTTCCTTGGTCAAGTACTACTCATGGCAGAAGACGACACAACCTGTGGTCCAAATGCCATTGTTGTTACTGGTAGCCGGATAAAGCCTGTCGAAGATACATCGCTTGATGAAGCAGCCAAGCGATGTTACCGTCTTCGCACGAGTACGGCGAGCCATCAGCTGAGCAACAGTAGAGATTTGTTGAGTAAATGCATTGAAACATACCACTGGCGGACTTATTTGGTGCTGCCGCCGCGACATTGTCAGTCAATAGCACCCACATACACCAGAAGTACGCACCCAAGCAGAGCTGCGGACAAGCGGGTGATCTGAACGACTGGTCGGTACAGCTACCTCGCGCGTACGAATTGCCAGAGGTAGAGTAAGAGCTGTGGTTACAATAGGAGACTTTGTCTGACAGGCAGGGGATGCCTTGACTGCCGCAACAGAAGCTTCCCTGGGTGCCATTGACAATGCATGGTTGGTCGGATGCAATGTATATACTATCAGGATAATAACACGAAGTAAAAGCTTGACTAAGTGCCACCACTAAGAGGAGACGGTAGAGGGTGAGAACTGTCATGATGGGACGGCAGAATTTCCAAGAAAGGTTTCGCATGATGCTGAGTTTGGTGCCTAAAGATGATGGTCGACACAGGTCAGGCTATGGCTACCATCAGCCAGTGATTTTGCTTGCACACGGGTCTTCAGTCTCGCAGACCCCTGGCACTTTCAAGATAGTATGCGGTACATTGCACATGCAAACAGAACGCAGCGATATTTTCGCAATTTCTTTGCCGTATCTTCGCCAAAGCTTCGCCCCACCATGACCCACATCGGTGACGCGCACCCTTGTTAAGAAGATGTCGGGCGTTTCCAGGTTCAAGATCGAGAGCAGAGTCTATTTTAAGCCCTATCAATTTGCAGGATTATAGATCTCCTTTATGGTCCGCATTGGTATAAGAAGTGTAAACTCAGCTTCCAAATTACACAATATCATGAATGACAACGCAATGGTTCGGCTCATAAATTCAATCAACGGAATCATGCCACTGTACGAAGTAGGGAGCAATCATTGACAGAATGGGTCGCAGCAAAGGGAAACCTGCAACGTGCGATCGTACGACTCCCTATGGCAATTTCAATATCATCTTTGATGGATGTCACATCAAGTTGAAGCGCAACATGCTCATAGGTGTGTTCAATCCTCCGAAGGATTCTACACACCTGAGCATTGCCCCAAAGCTGTACGCACACATGTCACGGTCGATGCTCTGCATTCGAGCGAATATATGTTCTGAGCAACCAATACAAGACAGAAATGATTGGTGAATGATGGGGCGCGATCTGGAGATTGACACGCTGGAGCATACCCGAGAAGGTATGAAGATCTAGCCAAGGAGGGGAAATCTAGATGAGCTCTATCTGCCAGTTGTGATTTCATTGAAGTCTTCAAGAGCTGGTGAGTCGGTGAGTGTTCATCATCGTTCATCGCTGGTCAGCTAGCTTAGTCGCTAAAGCGGCTACACCCGTAAGGGCCAAGCCTTTGTAAGCTTGTATGCATAACACAGCGAGGCCTCCATTTCACGTCCACTCTTTGAAACATTCTTGTTTCTTCCTGTGCAATTTTTCTTCTTCTTAGACTGACCATGGCCGACTATTTGAAAAGTCTCTTTGCAGCCCAGAAACCTCCACCGCCCGCAAACGAAGACGGTATGCTCTAACCAGCCAAATTTCCTCTATCAACAAGAACATCTCTGACATTTCACAGACTTCGCAGACTTTGCCAGAGTCCCAGATCCTTCCCCTGCTTCCATCTCGCCTGTCACTCCGCAACCAGCAGCTGCAGCAGGAGCCTCACCTACCGGCGCAACAGATGTCGTCTTCACCAAATGGTACCGTGTCTGGGAACGAACGAGCCCCTCAGATTTCTACGCTGAGGCTGTCATTCTACCCTTCGTCATCGTGATCATAGGGCTGCATATATGGGGTCGACGGACAAACAAGCGAAAAGCAAAAGCGTGGATCGCAGCTCATGCGCCAGCGCTCGAAAAGGAATATGCTTCCGTTGGGTTTGGAGGGAGGAAAGCTCCAACAGTGGACGATGTACAATCGTCCGGCTTAGCCAAATCATTGACATCGGACGACCTGGTTATTCCGCAAGAGTTGTTGAAAGAGAAGACAGCGCAGGAGTACGTGACGTATGCGACTGGGCGACAGAATGTCGCTTTCACGGACATCAACGTCAAGCTGTTCAAGAGGTACAATCCAGCGACTCTTATCATGGAATTCATCCTCGGCTTCCTGTTCGAATCTTTCGCTACACCTGCGGAGAGGATGGAGGCCACTTCCTACGCTTTCGACGGTCGAGAAAAGGATCTTGTGCCTGCTCAGAATCAACAGCAGTTGGAAGCGATTGAGGCGCAGGCGAAGAGCAAGAGCTCCATCTACGATCAATTCGTCTTTGCCGTGGTCCACAAAGACTTGATGCGAAAGATCCGGGACGATCGCTACGACATCTCTCTTACAAGCACGAAAGATCATGCTAAGCTGCCAGTTTGGGCTACTACCATGAGCGAGAGCGCAGAGGTCACAGAGAAGCTTCTTACCGCTGACCTGGTCAAGGCGGTCGCAAGTGCCGGCGAAGCTTTTGAGTATCTGGTGGTGACCGATCAGCCACTGGACAAACCATCGAAGTAAGCCGCTTTTGAGACACTGCGTTCCTACGGCCAACCTAACATTCACCAGACTCAATGACACTAACCCCCGCAAACGCCTGTCCCTCTCCCTCCGCATCCCTTCTCCCTCCCAAGCTTCAGCCTACGACCCTACACTCCCCATCTTCAGCTACTTCCTGCGCTTACCCGACCTCCTTGCGCAAAACGCACATTTTCGTCCCGAAGTCAGCCGCAAGATCCGTTCCGTGCGCGAGGATGAACAGAAGAAGTTGAGAAAGCTGAGTGACGAGGAGAAAGCGGAGGAAAGGAGACTCGAGGGTGAGAAGAAGAAAAAAGAGATGAGGGATAATAAGTTGAAAGGCATGAGCGCGGAGGACCAGAGGGATTTCCTGGAAAAGGAGAGGAAGAGGAGTGGGAAGAAGCAGGAGAAGAAGATGAGTAGGAAGGCCTGAACTGGTGGTGATGCTTGTGGAGGATAGGACAAGCGCTGTATTTGGTTGAATACGAGGGCTGTAGATATGCATGCTGTTGGAAATTGGGGCTGTATCATATGGACGGAACGACGTACATTATCTCGTAGCTCGTCCCTAGGAGAACTGCTACTGCTCGTCTAATTGACTCGATGTCCCCACTTGTAAGAACTATGGTCCATGAACGACAGTGGCACAGCAGTATTGGTTCCAATCGAAATGTAGAAAGCTTATGCAAAAAGCTATGATGCGTTCAGAATCTACCTCTGAATGTAGATTTATTCTGAGCAAGAATCTTCGGATGAATGTCTGTCTCTATTGCCTTCCTCGACCAATACCATATGTACAAATCCAGCAGCACCGCACGACACCATCACATATCTCGCGGGTCCTTCAATTTTTGCCAAACCACGTCTTGTGTCCCTACGCAGTGCGTTAGTATCCGCCGTACAAAGACGCCCGACCGTCCAAGACTCCGAGAGAGGTTGAGGAAGGAAAGCTGCGCAGAAGAATCCGTACCAGTACCATGCGACCCATCATGTACATCGTCCCTGGACCGCATCATCAGCAACGCTCCCACAGTCTTGCAAGGTAGCAGCAATGCACGAACCGCCAAGGGTCCCCCACAGCGCGACGAAGTATGGGTAGAGCATGTACTTGCTCCTGGGCGTCTGTCGGGAGCATACAGTCAGCGACTCCGTGTCTCAATCATACCAGCGCCCTGCCGCGTGGCATCCCTTTTTTTTTTTGCGCATGTGCTCGAGCTCCGCTCCCTGTCTGTGTCGGATCCCCGACTCTCATGTCGTAGGGAGGTAGGCGGGGGAGCTGCTGGAGCACTGACCTTCCACCATTGCCGCACGCCGTCGTTCTTCTGGAAAAGCCGTTGGTAATGGGGCACGCGGTTCTCACGGTTGACGAAGCTGTGGGCGCATCGGTCAGCCGTTGCCAATGGTTGCTGCTGGGCGATGGGCGGAGTGTGAGAGGGAGGCTTGCGATGGGTTTGCCGGCTCGAGAGGAGGGGAGGGGTGGGGCGGATCTTGTGACTTACCCTGCCATAGCTGAGACGTGCTTCGGGGTCTCTTGATGATGCGTAGACGTGGGGTTTGGATTATGTGCCGGTATGAGATGCGATTGGGAAGCTGTCGGCGATCCTTTGATACATATGGCTGAGAAGGCTTGGCACGGGCGTGGCCGCTTTAGCGAGTGGGAGCCCTAACCCTACTCGCGGGAGCAGCCCTATACAATTACTGGGGGACCTTAGAACCATTCCCCTGGCAGCTACCTTAATCAATAGAACTTTAGGGACCGTTTTGGGCGCGATAGGGGTCTGAAGGCCCAAACTAGGTGGAGGCTAGGTGCAACTCCGAAGCATATCTAAGCGCGATGTCTACTTAGGACGCAGAGATCTTGGCAGTTTTGGTGCACCCTTTTAGTTTACAGTAGCTACGAGTACAACGTAGTGCGCTCCTACATATGATCCAGTCTAGCGGGCCTTCAAAATGGCCAATACTGTACGTACGAAAAGGTACCTGCGGGCATGCTGCTAGGTAACGTCGATGACGCACGGGGATTTTCTTTATGTAGGGCGCATCCCCCCTATCCTTCAGTACCGATACATTTTTCGCAATAGTGTGCCTTGGGGACCTCTAGGAAAACAATAGTGGAGAATCGAGTGCTCCTCTGAAGTGTCCGTTCTTACTATTCAGACCCTCGGAAAATGGTATAGGTCGATCTCATTGAACGCAAAGCAAAAAACGACTGAGTATACACCGCAAACCGATACTCTTCACGCTCGAGATCCGGTCCGAAGAGCGTGAGGACAATGGCGTCCGCCAAAGTCCGCTGCGCAAGGAAATCGTAGTGAATGGATTTCTTCTCCTTGGGAGTTCCTTTTTCCACAATTTCCTTAGATGTGCTGATAAACAGAGTATTCTTTGGCCGTTAGCTGAGCATGCTTGCAAAAAAGTATGAGAGTGAAAGAGAGGTAGCAGAGGAAGGGCAAAGACTGTACCCCAAATGATATCTCAAGCGTGTACCTAACCCACCAGTCATTCGCCCTATTTGCGATACCTTTTGTCAAGGAGCCAAACGCTTAGCTACCAAACCTTCCACCCATTCGATCCTCCTCGCGGCCCCAGCCGGTCACAGAGAAGAGTGACGAGCTGAGCCGGTGTTCGAGACAATGTCTTTCGAACCGACTGTCTCGGCAGACCTCCTATTCCTCCTTCGAGAGAGATTACGACCACGCAGGAAGAGCGTTCCAAAAGCAGTGCGTATGCTGCAAGCCTCGAAAGAAAGAGTACTAAAAGTCGCCCTCGTGCCTCTCTGCAAGCACATCCATCAAGCATATCACACCGAACAACTTTGCTCGAATCTGCTCTTCTAATCATAATTACAACAGATCAAACGCTCGACAAATCGAATCCAAAGTCGATTACAATGGCCGACAACACCCGCAGCCTGACTATCAAGAGTACGGGCCCCGATCCCTCTGCCCTTTTCAACAGCAAGTACAATCTACAGGTCGCCAAGAGCGTTATCACCAACAATCAACGTACAAGCTCCTCGCCCCTGGCCAGATCTGAGCAGGAATAAAATGGCTAACGCGCATCGATAGTGACCTACAACATGGTTTGGCAATCCCACGTCCTGGCTCCGAACATGAATGTCGAATGGAAGCCCGTCTACGGCTTTAATTGGACTACAGTATGCCCTCCCGCTCTTCTGCCACTGTACCCCCTAATCGTACCTTGCGCGCAGGAAGTCCCCGTTCCCGACCTTATCTTCACCCTTGCGGCGAGTGGAAGCAGTGCGACCAAGGCCAGGTCTTCGACCTCGACGCCATGGGCATGTGGGAACAGTCCACCGCCATCCCCAAACTCCGCTACCTCAAAGTCGGCAAGAACAACTACCAGACCGATACCGGCACTAACGGTGTCCACTTCATGGTCGGCGTCCAGGAGGCAAGGGACGGGTCCAGCCCGATCTTTGTGGACCCTAAAGGTATGACGGCGCTGTACCAGCCGCAGGAAAAAGTACAGTGGTGGTATCAGTCGGGGATGCATACCTCGACCATCATCGGTGAGAACGTCGGGCCCGTGGAGACGGGAGATTTCACCCCGCCGGATGCCTTGATTGGAACGAACTCAAAGACGAGCTCGTACAACTTCCAGGCGGGGCAGTGGACTACCACTTCGCCCTAGATCGGCTGACTCAAGGTCGACAAAGCGAATGAGATGAATGGTGGCAATGGCAAGGGGTACAGGGAAATATGAGACGCAGGTCTAGGTATCTTTTGATTACAGGCTGTTACTAATGCACCGAGTACGGGCGAATATATCGGTGACCATAACACTTGTTCTCCAGATGTCGCTTGCCCTGTTTTGTCTGCCTAAACTTCATCCCTGCCCCCACCCCTCCCGGGGTCCTAAGTACACCATGACCCGGGTAGAAGAAACACCGAGAAGATCACCCACAGGGACCCGGCTGGATAGGGTCTACCGAATACCGTTCTGGGTGAATGCGAAATCTGCTCGACAACCATTCGGAACGCTTGTTGTTCTCACTGAGACAGTGAAGCCTTATCACATAGTGATGAAACAATGAGTGGCGAAAGAAGTTGATAGCAATAAACCCTTACCGTGGTTGTAGATGTCGAGCCAACGAGAAACACCTTCCTAAAAACCAACCCGCTTTGTCACCTCGGCTGGCCATACGCCCGAAAGGCTGTAAACCTGGTGTGAAAGCCTTGGTCACAGGACTTTGAGTTGATGGTGAGATACTTTGTCATCGATTCCTTTGTCATCGTCAAAAGGTATCAATAATCACTCCCGTCGCATGTTATATACGTAAATACCTCCATCCCACGAAGGGTTCAACCAATAGAAGTAACCTGATTAGGACAGTTCACGTTGGCATCCAGAGCCGGATGCGCGGCGCCTCCACAGGCAGGGTTGCACGAACAGGTAGCCGGTTCGCTAGCTCCATGCTCCTGTCCAGCCCTAGACAGAGTCGGTCTCGCATTTTCTTCCAGGTAACGTTTCTTCAAAGGATGGACTTACACTTTGGTGCACTGGGGGACACAGGAAGCGTGAGAGTGCTGTTTGTCCCGAGCGGGCATGCTGTGGTATGATAAAAAGCTGATCAGGGTTGGAATGAAAAGAATTGTTATACCAAACTGGTCGTCTTCCTTTCGATCGGATTCGACAAATGCAATATTCAATCCTCTAATCTGCTCTCGGGCAAAGATTATCAAGGAGTTGAGGCGGTCTCTCTCGGTTTTTGGAGTATTCGATGTCGGTTGTGCCCGAGATATACCGAGAAGGTCTTTCACGTACTGAGGATCCACGCTGACGACTGTTTGCGTGCCGGGCAGCTGCCGTTGAAAGAGTCCACACGTCAATCCCCAAAACAGCCATGCCTAAAGGAACAAAGGCCTAAGCTCAGTCCGCAGCGCAGCGATGTCGTATTCGGTTCCCATGACCTGGGGATCCTCTCACCTGCAGACTTGCCAACTTTTTGGAGTCGCAAGGGGAAGAAGATCAATACTTGTAGTGCTAAGAGCTGGGAGATCATCGGCAAGAGGCAAGAGTGTCGTAAGGCGGAATTGGTGGACGTCTATCTGTGGTGCTACTTGACGTGGTTTGGCGATTGTCGGTAATGGGAAGAAGCGGTATAGAGTCTGTCCTTCCTTGAAGCATGATTTTGTCGACTTTGGGCGAAGGACTAGGGGATTGGGTAGTGCATCTGACTAGACGTAGGCAGCTGTTGTTGTTGAGCATGACGTGGGAAGTAATAAAGCAGCAGGGATAATGGACTAATACTAAGTAGGAAGGTGGAACTGGGACTATGAAGAGAAAAAAAGAGGATCGGGTGGCAATTCCATGCTGTACTATCGGCACAATTCACCGCTAGGTGAATGCAACAGGCGATGTTGTGTTTTGGTAGTATCGTAAGCAGACAGAGAGTCAAAGCTTGCACGTAACATTTTAAGCTGACGCCTAGCTTGTCTGTCCTTCGGTCTCAGTCCTTGGTAAGTCGATTTTTTGGGAGAGATCTCTGCCTGGGTGCTCGAACGCTTAAAAAAAAGATCATATGCTCTGACTAGCCTCATGAAGCCTGGGTTATCTCTGATGATGCTGTACTGATCCGGGTGGCGATTTTCGATCTGTCGAAGGTTCGAATAGGACAAAATCCGGAGAGCTGCACTCGAGATGGAGTGAAGTCTAGCCGTGATCATCGACTTGATCTACTGAACGTATGTTGCCGCGGATGAGAATTGACCATGCTGAGATCAAGACAGCAATTTGGAGCAAGGTCCAGTCACCGTTTGGTGCATTCAAGTCTGACAGCTTCTTGTACGTATTCGGCATTGAGATCATCTTCAGTCGAAATTTCCAGTGCATTACCTATTACTTATTAACACTAGAATCATGCTCAGCCCCCTCTAATATGCATCAAGAATATCCCGACCCTACGTTTGCCGGTCGATCAAAAAAGACACACTTTGCTTTTTCATTATCATCATTGTTTCAACGCCACAACCCTAATGGCAATTCCACTGTGATTCGCCCCTTCTCTGTTCTCCCCCTCCCTTCTCCATTGTCCGCCTCCATCTCCTCCCTTTCCCTGTCTCCCTCTCGCTTCAAACCCCTCCCCCGTGAACCTGCTCTCCCATCACAACGCAAGACAAGAGCCTGAAACCTGCGTCTGTGGCGGTCCTACGTCTACCGTATTCGCACCGACAACCGTCGTCGTGCTACCGTCAATACCGAACAATGTGCAGCTCGCACCGCCTGCAGAGCTAATGTGGGAGATGCTCAATACGTTGGCTTTGATGGTACAAGTCAGTGACACACATATTTCACGAAGAGTTCCCTAGACAATGGGACAGGCACGAGGAGAGTAGATGGTACATCAAACAGTGGGGTAAGGAAGAATTGGCTAGAAATTGGGGCTGGCAGCATACAAATCTCGAAAACAGAACCATCAGTGGGGACCGACAGCGTGAAGAACGCCGCTGCGGGAGGAGCGCCTTGGAAAGTGAGCTGGGCTTGGAACTGGCGGGCACTGGAGCTGGGTGCGGCGTGGAGTTGGGAGACGAGGAGGAAGAGGAAGGTAGAGATGGTGAAGGCTTTCATTGTGGATGCTTGATTGATTGATGGATGGGAGAGATGAAGTCTTTTCTTTATTGAAAGGCTGGAGTCTGTGCAAGGAGTGCAAGGTGGATGAGCAGAAAAGAGGATCAGGTGGGATGAATGTACCCTCTATATATATGTATAACAGTCATAACTAGATGCAAGTCCGCCACTACTTCCCCTCCTTTACGATCCAAACTGTCATGTGCCCCGCTCGGTCTCAGTAGCAGATCCCACGGTCAACGTCATCTAATACGAGATGGGCGTCTTCAACAGTCTGCCAAGGCTCGGCCGTCTGACATGCATAGCTTTCGGCACCTTTTTGATTCGCGAGAGGATCCACGTGAGTTACCTGTATGGTTGACGATTATCCCCACGGTTGAGGATCTGCCTTCCTAAATCCATCACGAATAGGAGACCGCGTCGGCTTGTGGCTTGCATTGGTCAATATTGGTATTCAAGTCGCGATGGTTTGTTGGTGGGGAGGACCAGTCAGCGGAGCGCATGCCGATGGCAGTGCATCAAGTATATATGCATGACTTGCATGACTACATAATGTAAGACCAACTGCTTTTTTCGAGTAGCCTTACAAATGAAGAGAAGATGATGAAGTCCACCGGACGTCCTCGCCTAAGTTGCCCCCATTCGGCACACCGATATCAGCAGCCAAGCAACCCCCCCGGATTAATAAGCCATAGATGTAAGACTGGTGTCCGTAGTTTTTCCTAATGTTTATTATTTCTGAGGTCAACATAAGCAATAGATCGACTGTAAAGACTTCACGAGTACAGCGTGTTCAGCCGAAACAAGCGATACTTCTTTCTACTTCGTCTTCGGATTTAGCGAGTGTTTGCAGCAAGTATATAGAAACATATCGAGATACTTTCTACTTTCAGAGATTTGTGATACTGATCATACGATTAAAGACTTTTATAGGAGGGTTAAATTGTTTCTTAATAGATTATAATATAATCGACTCTAACTAGTGGTCTTTTGACTAGAGAAATCCATTCAATAATGTAATAATACGTTATCAGAAATTTTTAGAACTTTGTAACAGTGTAGATCGGCGCCGTAGAGGTTCTCGCCGCAGGTGCCGTTGGCCACGAGGCGGCGGATGTCTTGGCCGAAACAGCAGCCGAGGTCGAGGAGGCGCTGGGGGGTGGAAGAGGCTCTGAGGCGAGCGAGCACGGTCGGGTAGAGGGGATTGAGGGAGATTGAGAGGTCGAGGAAGCCGAAGCGGAAGCGGAAGCCGCCGACGCAGGGGTATGGGTGGATTTTTCAGGCTTGGTCGCGTTGATGAGGGGCGAGGAGGAGCAAAGCGTGAATGATCATAATGAGTAGAGGGAGAAGACGGAGCAGGGTAGAAGACTCGGAGGGGAGGGTGAGAGGCAAGGGAGAGAAAGTAAGAAACATTGCGGGCAAAGGTACCACGGCGTGAATGTGAGCAATCACCTGCTCCGGAGGGATCTTACTGTATAGTACTCCTCCAAGAGCTTCCGCACGGGTGTCATATCTTCCTCAATGTCTTTACTATACCGAGAGATCGGGTCTCGTCGGTCATTTCTAACTTTGATGTCATTGTTTTCTGAAGTTGCCATTATTGATGTTGGGGAGCAAATAACCTATCTTAGATTTTCACGCATACAGGTAAAGAGAAAGCTTGGTTAGCATGAGAAAGACTCGTCCATCTCGAGGGTGCAACAGTCGAGATATATGCACAGTGGACGGTCATAGGACAGCTAACTCCTAATTCCGGAACTTCTTATGGATGTCCTTGGTTTCTGAGCCTAATTCTCTCCAACAGCCTGTTCACAGGAGTTATTGCTGACATACTCACAGCATCGGCCTCTCCATAGGTTAATCACCCCCGGATCAACCAAGACTCTCGGCAGGTCCCACCGATAGCCTCAGGCTGCGCCCGTACTGCATCCTGATCTCATACGGGATCGGCAGCTCATTCGCCGAGTACTTTTCGTTCTTCTCGATCCTCATTCCATGATTCCATTCACAATCACCTTCTTTATATGCTTTTCTTTTCCCTCAATCGCTGTACTAGCTGACGGCCGGATCTGTCAAAAACTACCAAACATTGTACCTAGAAATTGATTGCGTTTATCCCTACTCCTACTCCCGGAAGGCGGCCCTATGGTAGCGGGCCCTAGAACGATCTTCCTGGGAGCGCATGAATTGAGCTTTAGGGACCTTTAGGCGCAATTTCGAGGCAGATCTAAGCGCATTGTCAAGGCCCTTTAGGTGGGGCGTTATCCGAGATCTTGGCGTGGGAGTCTTCGGCAAGAATCCTTTGAAGTCAGCAAATCTCTACTCACTCAAAATCCTTACTCGCTCTGGTCCCTGGTCGCTCAAATTTCTGGCTTTGATGGGCTTTGGACTCACACCGAACCTATAGCTCGCCAAATGTTGGAAAGCGAGCGAACGTCAGAAGAGGTTGGTCATGGGTGGCCTTCAACACGTTCAGTTGGTATGGGAGACTCGCTGCACCAGTCAGCAATGGAACTGCCCGCGATGAACTCTCGCAACGACTTAATCTCTTTCCTTGCAGTAGCTCAATACTACGAAATCGACATCGTATCTCTGACATGGCAGCAAGGTCGGGGCCAGTTAGGGATAGGTGGTACATCGGAGATATGGCAGGCGAATTACAGCAAACGAATGGATTTTGTATTCAAAAGAATGAAATTTGCGGATACGGACGAAGAGAAAGGCTTCAATGCCTTGGTCTCGGAAATCTCGATCCTGAGTCATCCTCTGATCCGACACCACCAGAACATCGTGAAGTTGGAGGGAATTGGTTGGGATATTCCTCAACAAAGTCACAAGGTCTGGCCAGTATTAATCCTAGAGAAGGCTCAATTGGGGGACTTGAGATCTTTCATGTGCTCGGAACAGGGGAGATCGACGACCATGCGTGAAAGACTTGAACTCTGCACTGATGTAGCAAGCGCAATAATAGCCATGCATTCGAATTGTAAGTCTAAGTTCCTTAGCTCTGGTCGAGCGGGAAGGACTCTCGCTCACTGAGTAGATATGAGTCATGGTGACATCAAACCCGAAAATGTGCTTATCCACAAGGATGGCATTGGCGAGTTGCATGCGAAGTTAGCAGATTTCGGCTACGCGGGATGGGCAATAAAGAAAATGGAAGATGTGTTGATCAAGCCGCCTAGATCACGGCCGTGGGATCCTCCCGAATATCACCACCGTGGCTTTACAGTCTTGGGAGCCAGAAAATTGGACGTATATTCGTTCGGTATGCTATGTCTCTGGGTTCTTTTCTTCGACAGGCCATTGGATAGCGATTACGTTCCCACAGCAATAAGGAAGACTCAGTTATGCACGTTTCATGATCCGAAGTTGCTAGACAGCATGAAGCACGAAGGTACTCTAGGAGATTTTGCTGGCGGTCTTGTCAGATCAGTGGCAAGCTTGCCTGCCAAGCAGAGGGAAAACCTAGAACGGTTTTTCTTGTCAGCTCTTGCACGTGACCCTGCTAAGAGGACTATGAAGTTCGAGGACTTGGCGTCGCTTTTGGGTCCTGGCTGGTATGGTCTTGGTGACTGACGAAGTTTGCTGCTTGGGAATCCCTCTGATATTCAACAGGCAGCCCGGTCCGGCAACATTGGATACGGACCAGATGGAAATTGATCATTCTAGTATCAAGGTCGAAGTACGTGTCCTTCAAGACAAATTTTTCCTTCGCTAAGCGTTTGTAGATTGCCAAAACCTTTTACTCCTTGATGAGAGCACATCCTCGTGTGCGAAGTCACATCTTTGAGTGCATTCATGACCAAGCCCAAGGCGGTCTTTTCGAGAAACATCGCCTCAATGCAGCTTTTCAGCTTGCATTCTGCTACAAGACGGGGTTCGGAACACCGTCAAACGACGAGTTGTCTCAGATTTGGGTGAAGCGAGCTCAACGTTGTGCCCAAGACCTCGATGAGGAAGTGGAACTGGCGAAGGGAACAATGAACAGAGGAAATTACCGCAATGGCGATTTTCAATCCCTTGCATACAGCGGTCTGTTATCGGAAGCGAGTCCTATCATCAGGCCCAAAGACGATGAGCTGACCATAGCTATGGCGGACTGCAAGAGAGAGATACGGGATATGGAACTCGCATTCGGCAAACACAACTGCTCCGTTCTCGAACTAAAGCTCAACCAAGCGTCTAGGATGGAAGCCGCAGGGAAGTACAAGGAAGCAGAATCTTTGCGAGTTGGGCTGCTACAAGATCTGAGAGATGAGCCGGGTTCTCTTCAACTGTCAGTGCTCGCTGCTTCGACCAGTGCATGGAGAACACTCGAAGTTGGGCGATGGAGGAACCACGAGGGACCACGCAAACCTCCACTGCAGCTGGAAACATCTGACTCAGAGGAGCCGGCTGTTCTCATCGATATCATGGCATGTCTGAACGATAGGATTCCGGAAACGGCCCAACTGTTATTTCATTTGGGTGTCAACTATGCAGGACAGGGACGTTGGCAAGAGGCAAAATGGATCTTCCTACGTTTGACACAGACGAGAATGGAAATGTTGGGAGAAAGCCATCCAACCACGCTCGTTTTGACTACTCGTCTAGCATCAACGTACAGCCACCTAGGACAGTTGTCGGAAGCAGAGAGGATCTACATCCATATCTCGGACATTTATACCTGGGTCCTTGGCGAAAATCATCGCGATACGCTTTCGACCAAAGCCTTCTTAGCTGATGTCTATGTAGAGCAAGGCCGTCTGGACAAGGCAGAAACCCTCATTACAAAGGTTCATGAAGCACAACAAGAAGTTCTCGGTAAAGAAGACTTTCGCACTTATGATAGCATGGAAGTTTTGGCTGGCGTTTATCTAAGCCAGGGTCATTACAACGCCAGCGAAGCTTTAAGACGCCAGGTCATTGACTTCTATAAAGGTAGCCTTGGGCCAGATCACCCGGTCACCCTGTTCGCGATGAGCCAGCTCTCCGTAACGTTAGCGAAGCAGGAGTGTTGGCCGGAGGTCAAGAAGATAACGATGCAAGTTTTAGAACGGAGGAAAGAACTCCTCGGTCCCGGGCATCCGCAAACATTGACTAGTATCGATAATCTCGCTACTGTGCATGCCAGGCAAGGGCTCTTGCGAGAGGCAGAGACAGGATTTCTGGACGTGATAAAAGGCCAGAACAAAATATTCGGTGAGAGTTCCTCACGCTCTCTAGATGCAATCCAGAACTTGGCTACTCTTTATGGGATGCAAGGACGTCTAAAAGAGGAGGAGGCCTTGCTCATGAAGCTGATCGAGAGAAGAAAGGACTGTTTGGGGGAGGAGCATCCGAGCAGCCTTATATCGATTGAACGTTTGGCTTGGAATCTTTTATGTCAGTCACGTCCAAGAGAAGCCGAACGGTTGTATTTGCGGGCAGTATTTCTTGGGAGAAGGGTGCGAGGGGGAAAACATCCAGATCAACTACTCTCGGAATCCGGCCTAGCAGAAACCTACCTCAAACAGCTTCGATTCCAGGAAGCGGAGAAGATCATCCTACATGTTTTGGAACATATTGATGCTGTGCTCGGTGCGGACCACCCGGAAACGATGGTTGCGCGGGTGCGGCTCGCAAGGATCCTAAACGGACAAAGGCGCTGGCGAGAGTCGGACCCTATCTTCTTGGAAGCAGTTGAGCAGAGGAAGAAAGTGATGGGAGATGAGGATGAAATGACACTCAGGGTCATGCGCTTCTACGCATGGAGTCTGTGGAGTCAAGGTCGATGGCGGGAGGCCATTCCTGGTCTCTATCGATCATCCAGAGGCGTCTGCGCTGCGCGAGCATTTGCGAGACGTCGAAGCTGGGGCTTAACCCAGGGTCTCCGCGTATCACTGGTCGTTGCCATAACTGCGATTACATACAGATGGAGCAAAAGCTTTCCTGGGTGGGCTTTTGCGTCATGAGTCTCGGACTTTTTGACTTCACCCGGCTGGACGAAAACAGAAGGTGGACAGTATCTTTAGATTCTATGGTATACTACATCTCGTATACACAGATTCACTGCCTTCGGCCTGGCTCCGTCGCCATTCTGGCCAATGCGTACCGACAAACGTGAAGACCGTCAAGCCTACAGTCGTCATCACTTCTCGCAAGCATTTGAACGGGAACTATACTCCAAGTGTGCTCGGTGCGGCGGTGCTCGGTTGGGATTGCAGAGGGAAAACTTGTCCGCAGGCAAAGGGAACGTTCATCCTCCAGCCTTTCAACCCAGCAGCCACAGGGACGTCAGACATGGCACACCGTCGGATCAAAAAGCTTTCCACTAGGACCTGCCTCAGCGCAACAGAGCACGCATCAAAGCCGAGGCCGACGCTGCACTCCAAGTCATCGGTGCAGGCCCACCGAGATCTGGGACCACGTCGCTGAAAGCCGCATTGGAAATCATAGGCTTTGATCCATGCCATCCATCACATGGCGGCAGGTTTCGTTCGTTCATCCATTCATTCAATCCAGTTCGCCCAATTGTAACAAACAACAATAACGAGCAAATTAATTGATGCTCATTATCGTCGAACAGGAACTCTTCGACCATCCATCCGCACAAGAGTCTATTCTTCGCCGACCTGCTAAAATCCCAATCCCAAGCGCCATCATTGCCTCCACATTCCGCGCCCACAGCATCCCACCTCGCCATGCGCGCCACGGTCGACTCACCCGGCCGCGACCTCTCGCTACCAAGATCTCACGACGCTTCCACCGAGACGCCAGAGTTTATCCTCTTCGTTCGTGACAGCGACAGCGATAGCCGTTTGTCTAGTGGCAGTTCCTTCCTTTGCCGGCACCATGGGCGTGCAGACGACGAACGAGACGGTACGCGGGGCTGACGTATCCGACGCCCTCCCCCTTTCTTCGGTACAATGAGAGAGATCCTCTTCCATAACCAATCAATCAATCACTGAACGATGAAAACATGCGTCTTTCCGGGACGGATACGCTTGGACTGAACCGGGGATCCATCGTGCGCATGATGGGGATGTGAGGGAGGACGTGCCGGGTGAGAAGGTGTTGGTCTTTAATAATGTGAAGATGGGGTGGGAGCAGCTCGCTGTGTGGGTTTTTTGGGACGTGCCGGTGCCGGAGCGGCCGGTCGTTTCCGCAGATGTCGGTGATCTATCCCCTAACAACCCTCGTCTGGGAGCTTCTACTGAAAATGATCGGTGCATTGTATGTGGGAATGATGCGAAGATGATCGCCGGACTTGTACTGGGTACGGGGCCTTGCGTCCATGGGGTTGGCGGTCTGTGGTCAGTTGGCGGTCCTTTTGCCCAGTTGGCCGCACTAGTCCCTGAACCTTTCAGGGCCTCTTGCTCGGATCGGGCCCAACGAAAGGCTCTAGAGTTCCATCTGGAGTATGCGCTCCCGGTCGATAGATGGATAGATCAATGTGTGCGTACGGCCGAGGGTTCATGATCTCCGGCAAATCACGGCCAGGGGCGTTCCGGGTCCAACGGCAAGAGTACGTATGGAAGTCGAGAACAAGGCTTCATCAGTGCACGAGACGTGCTCGAAAGAGGTCGGGCTGGGAACCAAAGGGGGACATCTATTGCCAACGATCTTTCCGACGTTTTGACTGCTGTCTAGCTGTCTCTCAGCCAAAGACTATTCCATCAGCTCCTAACCGTACATGAATAAGCAGAGAGGGTATCCAACGCCAACGCTCATTGCCATGATCAGCGCTCCTCATGGTCATCCAAATGCCCATTCATCATGCCTCGTAGAACACGCCTAGCCTAAGATCTGTAAGCAGGCGGCGGCTCCTCCTGTGCCTCGTCATTTCGATCCCAAAATCCACTGTTCGCCGCCTTCTGATCCTGCACTTTGCGAGCAATCTCACCCGCCATCTTGGTCAACCAGGGCTGTGGCACCATACCACCTGAAGAAGACTCATCGATGGGTGAAGGAGATAATTGTTGGAGAGTTGCCGTTGAGGATGACGAAGCTTCTGGCTTTGGTCCTTTCTCGACAGGGTATCGAGTAGTTTGTAAAGAATCTGGCGGTCGTAACGAAGGCCGCTTGGCGGTTCGAGAACCAGACTGTGTTAGCGAATGTGGCGAGGGCACCTTGTATTGGGGTTGCCTGGGTGTGTTTTCTGAAACCTCAGCTCGTTGAGGCTGACGAGGCGTGAAATTCCTGAACCGTAGAGGCGTGCCATCGCCTGGCTCTTTTTGTGCCGCTGTGTTTTCTGGCGTCCTAGGAGGAGTGACAAGCTCCCCGTCACATCGCTCTGGTGTGACAGGACGAGCGCCAGATTCTGACGGTGCTGAAGACATGGTCCCAGACGCTGTGGTACTCTCGCCGCTCACACTCTCCACATCGTCTCCATCCGTTGCTTTCTTCCTTAAATTGACGACCCGATGCTTTCGCTTCCGCCCTCCGTGGGGCTTTCCGTGCTTGTTTGATCCGAGACCTAAGCCTGAAGCAGCCGATCCAAAGGACGACAATCCCGGTCTGGACGGATGATGCCCAGTGTCACCGGCTTCCGAAAACACGTATGTTGTACTAGCATTGCCCGTGTAGGATTGGCTGCGTGCCATGACCGGCGTCATAGGTGTCGCTCGTCCACTGCTTCCATGCATTTCTCCTCTTTCCGTAGGCCCCGCCCAAGCCCTGAAGACAACGTCCCTAATGCCAGGTGTGAAAAGTGACAAAGTCCTGTGCGAATCCGTCAAAGCACTCAGGCGCAGAAGATTCTTTTGTGAGAAGAGAGCGTGCATTTCGGGGCCTGAATCCAGAGATAGAGAAGCTATCTGCGATGCATCCAAAATATTCCCACAACTGTCCACTGGATCTTGAGGAGGACTTGCTAATGGATCCATTGGCTTCTCTGCGGTTGTGGAGTCTTGGAGATTCCGCGCTAGCTCCTCGTCTTCTCGTTCTCGATATTCTGGGACCCAGAGTCGTAAAGAAAGACGATGGATTATCACAGGAACCTCATCCATGAGAAGCGTCCGCAACTGGCCTTCAATCTCTTTTTGCAGATAGTCTCTGACAAAGGGTATTGCGTCGAAGGTAGAGGACACCTTGAGCGACTCCAGCGGGTCATTCCGAAAGACGAGCGTGAGACCTTTCTGCCTTGAGAACACCAGTATGATGAATGCGGATAGCTTGATTTCGGATAGTGTAATTTGTAGAGGGATCGTGAGGCCAGAGGAGGCAGCGAGAGGTTGTGGGGAGGTGAAGGAAGGTTTTGTAGATAGATAGGTATTCAGAGGATTTGCCTAGCGACAATCAGCAGCGCTCAAGAGATCGCTTATCTCTGTTACGTACCTGGACTCTGGTTTTCAGTGTAAGATATGCATCTCCAGTGTAGCACATCTTAAAGATGCCCCGAAATCGATCCTCCGCCAGGTCTCCAATTTCGAGGATCTCAAGATCTGGAGGCACGGAGCCCAGGTTGAGCTCATTGACTAGGATGTCGTCGACGATGATGGGGGGCTTCGGGGACTTGTTCAAAGCAGTCGTGAGAAGCTCTTGTGCCCTCGTGTAGAAAGAGGCATCGGCTGTCAAAGGCGACCAGTTGAAGTTGAAGGCCATGTTGGAGGAAGATGGAACCAGAGACGTTATGAGTGAGGACAGACTCTGCTGGTCGTGTAAGCGATGACGCTGTCGCTGGTTCGGATTTCAATGTCTCGTGCTCAAGTCAATCCTCCATGTGATGAGGACCCAGATAAGGCTGCTCCGGCGATTGACTTGGCGAATGCGAGGCTCGAGACGAAGGTAGCTCTAGAGAAGTCATGCCATGGTGTGCCAGGATTCAAGAGGTATGTCAAGAGGAAATTCCAGAGTACCTAGGTAGGATACGAGTACTCTACTACTGAAGACGAACTTTTGGAGAATTCGCGTTCTTTAACTCCAGTATTCTAGCTGGTGGTAACCCTAACCCTAAGTTCCGCCTTGGGACCCGGTCTGTTATCCACGACTAACTACCTACATGTAACAAGCTATAGGACCTGCAACTTACTACCAGTCATCTTTACGGATATAATAGAAAGCTGAGTGAATGCGAAAGTCATTACACCAGAGGCAATGCGATTGTGGGATTGGTGGATATCAATTCTATCATTTTTGTACACCTGTGCACACATCTGAAATCGCAAAGCAAGAAGTATTCGCCCTCGCGCATTGTACATACAGCTGGTACCTGTCGATATTCGATTCTTTGTGATGAACGACAGCAGTTGGGGAATTCTGGCGCCTATAGCTCATCGTGCCCGGCATCTTCATCCTCATCTTCACCACCCATAGGGGGCATGTCACCGCCCATGCCGGCGTACAATTTGCTTGTGATAGGGTATGCCACATTGCTGAGCTTCTCCTTCTGCTCCTCAAAGTCTTCAGTCGTGGCGTCTTGGGCGTTCGACTCTAACCAATCTGCGGTCTCCTTGACGGCTTCCAAAAGAGTCTCCTTGTCGTCCTCGTCGATTTTGCCACCAAGACCCTCGTCGTCGTTGGCCTGGTTCTTGAGGCTGAACACGTAGTTCTCAAGACCGTTGCGCGCTTGAATGCGTTCCGAGGTAGCCTTATCTTCTTCAGCAAATTCTTGGGCCTCAGCGATCATGCGATCAATCTCTTCTTGCGAGAGGCGGCCTTTGTCGTTTGTGATAGTGATACTCTCGGATTTACCTGTGCCCTTGTCGCCGGCAGACACCTTTAAGATTCCGTTGGCGTCAAGCTCGAAGGAAACCTCGATCTGAGGAACGCCACGAGGGGCTGGTGGAATGCCTGTGAGGTCGAATTTGCCGAGAAGGTTGTTATCTTTTGTCATGGAACGTTCGCCCTCGAAAACTTGGATCAAGACAACAGGCTGGTTGTCGGCCGCCGTGGAGAAGATCTGAGACTTGCGTGTCGGAATGGAGGTGCCTCGTGGAATCAACTTTGTCCTAAAGAAGCGGGAGTCAGCATT